TGCTGTCCTCTGAGGGACAGAGCCTCTGACTCAGGAGTCCCAGGTCCTTTGGCAGCATCTAGAAGACAGTAACAGACTGACTTCTAGATCCTTCATTGTTTGTCATCATTTTTTATGAACTTTGGAAATCTTGGAATTTTGGCAAAATCTGTAGTCTCACTCATTGTTCATAAGCCATTATTGTGAGGGACACACTTGTGAATGGGGACTATATTTTTAAGTGATCAGTCACTATTATGTTTAAAAAAATTTTTTTGATTGAAATAATCATATAATAAAGCACACAAATTTTAAGTGTATAGTTTAATGAACTTCCACGTGTGTGGGTGTGTATGTATGTATATATACATACATAAACACACATGTCATCATCACCCAGATCAAAATATGGAAAATTTCTAGCTCCCTAGAAGGCTGTCTCATGACCCTTCTTAGTACCGTTCTGGCCTGTGATGGCATAGGTTAGTTTTGCCTGTTTTCGAATGTTGTATAGATGGTATAATGTGTAATATTTCCCTCAGTATATATGAGAATTCTCCATGTTTAACATATATTAGTTCTCTTTGTAGTTGTGAAGTATTCCATTTTATGAATTTATTACCAGTATTTACCTGCTCTACTGCTGATGAATATTTGGGTTCCAGTTTGGGACTATTATAAATAAACTTGTTAGGGACATGTACTTGTCTTTTGGTGGACACAGCACTTGTTTCTGTGGAATATATACCTAGGAATGGAATTGCTAGGTCCTAGGGATCTGTGTTTAGCATTAGTGGATACTGTCAAACAGTTTTCCAGAGTGACTGGACTAATTTATATTCCTACTAGCAATATATGAGAGTTCTAGTTGTTCTGTATTATCATGAACAGTTAATCTTTTTTTTTTTTTTTTTTTTAATGTAGCCATTCTGGTAGGTATAGAGTGAGATTTTACTGTGGTAGTTTTTGTTTTCTTTTTGCATTCATCTGATAACTAATGATGCTGAGCCCATTTTCCCATCCAGTGGCTATTTTAATATTCTCTTTTGTGAAGGATCTATTCAGATCTTTTGTCTATTCACTAGTGAATTTTTATGATGAATTTTTCTTCCTTTTGTAACTTTAGACTTAGATAACAAGTACTTGGGTAGTTTGCACATAACACTTTACCAGTTTGAGAAGTATAGAAAACATTTTTAGAAATAATTTTATTAAAAGTGCTAATTTTTTTAGTCATTCCATATTTAAAGAGTTGAGTGTGAGAGTTGCTCCTCTCCCTGTGCTAGTTTTACTAGTAGAAGTTATAGGTTTTTAAAACTGACATCTATTTTTTTTTTTAAGCTAATCTCTTGAAGTTTAACTAATGGCATACCCATTCACCAAAGTCACTGGCCTTTTCTTTGTTTACATTCTTTTTAAACTTTCCCATATGTTTAATCTTCTGCAGTACCACTGCATCTAGTTCTAAGTCTGTCTTTTTAATAATGCATTATCAGTAACTCATTATCAGGAAACTCTTTCCTAAAAGTGAATGTTTTCTAATATTTAGGCGTTTACTTACTGTTCTTTTCACTCTATTGAAAACTTGTTTTTATTGTTTCAGTTCTTTGTACAAAATCTTAAATTTGCTTATCATCTTTACCTTGCTAAACTTGTATCTCCAGTCGTGGACCTTTTCCCAGTGGAGTTTACCGTCATATCTACTGACAAAGCTACCTTCTGAATGTTTTTAATTCTGGGGGTAGAATTCTCATTTTATCATTGTCTTAGTCAATGTGGGTTGAAAATTTGAAGTTATCTCTAATTTTAAGATACAGTTAATAGAAAAATCAGTAACCATTCATTAAGTATCATAGTGTGTGGTATGGCAAATGGAATGGTCCAGGTGCCAAAGACTACTTCTTATAAGGATTTTGTACTGTATTTGGGAAGTTAAGATATTATTAATGTCTTATTAATTAGTTTTATGATAAATATTCAATGACCAAAGCCTCTTCAGCATGGGATGGTAAAGGAAGTTTGATGAAAAGGAATAGATTTGAGCTCATCATTAAGAATGACTAAGATTTTTCTTGGATGACACAGATGGGCAGAGGGGCAGGGATTTGGATTGGATCAGAAGGTGTGTGTAGTGGAACAGTAGTGGGTAAAGTTAGATTAGGACTGGATCTAGCCAGTCTCTTAAGTCTTGATTATTCTTTCTGAATACTAATGATTATGATTCATGTTTGAATAGCATTGTTGAATTTGTAAAGTTTGTGTTAGCTAGGCATTATTTATTCAACATTTTAGTGACTTAGGAACCATCATCTCTATTTTACAGAAAACTTAATAGGCTTTGAAAAAATGATACTAGTAAAGAATAGAATCTGGTGGGCACAGTGGCTCAAGCCTGTAATGCCATCAACATGGGAGGCTGGAGTCTGGTGTGTTTATTGCCAGGCATGTTTTTATTCTCTCATATTGTAGGTATCCATAAATAACATTTTTTTTTTTTGTTTTAAGGTTGATATAGATGCCCTTAGAAAGGTATATACATTATTCTAGGTCCAGGGGATCCAGTGGTTTTGAGGGCAGATGAGACTACCTGTATACTAAGCATTTCGTTGGGGAAAACATAAAGTAAATAAAGAAAATTGATATAATATCAGACTACTATAAATGCTATAAAAAAATGAACAGGATCGGGGATAGAGAATGTTGTGGGAATGGGCTGTCATGCTATTTTCAATCAAGTGGTCAGGGAATTCCTCTTTCAGGAGGTGATCTTTGAGCAACTGAATTAATTTGATGAGTAAGCTGTGTTAAGTTATAGGAGAAGAGAATTTCAGGGAAGGAAACATCAGATGCAAAGGTCTTGAGGTAGAAATAACCTTAGAGTACTTGAGAAATGGAAGGAAGTTAAGTGTGGTTAAATGCAATTAGGTAGAATAATGGTTAAGAAATGAGTAAAAAGAAGCCAAGGGCTTGATCATGTATGATACTGTATTCTGAATTCTGGTCTTGAAGCTCCTTTCTTTTTGTCTCCCTCTTCCTTAACTGTCTCTCTGTTGCTCGTACACATACTCTCTCACACATATGTACACCGCCCTTTCTAGCCCCCATTGTATTTTGTGTTTAGGAATAAGGTATCAGTCAGCCAGACCTGTCTCTTATCTGGCTTAGGAAATGTTCTGTTGATGTCTGCCTATATAATTTTTGGTCTGTGTTCCTTTGCCTTTGACATTTCCCATCTCATCTCAGACAAACAAACCAGGTTTTACTTCTTGACCTAGATGGATTTTATCATACATCCTTGATGTAGATGCAACTGAGGTCAGCCCTTCTTACAGTTTGTTAGTACCTAACACTTTATATTCTGTTCGTGACAATTATGCTTTCATTCTCTTTGTTATATTTCTCTAGTTTAATGTGGCTAGTTTTGTTTGCCTAGCAACAATCATCCTACATAGGGCTGGGGAGTACAAGGCACAAGGCATATTCATACATAAGGAGTATATCTTCATTTTCCTGTACTCTTCCCGACCATGGTTCCAGCATAGCAGACTGGATAGCTGCCAGTAGTCGATCAGCATCCAAAACTGTATCTGGTACTTTAGTAGGCTCTCAGTAAGTGTATTTTGAACGAATCAATTTATTTACTGTTGAGATTAAACCCTATTTGGCATAACTTTTTTTTTTTAAAGTCCCAACCATAAGCCAAATAAATACCTGTTCAATAATTAAAAAAAAAAAAAAAAAAAGTCCCATCAGGGCTATTCACAACACATGGGATGTAACAAGCAATCAATAATTGTTTTTTGAGTTTATCTCAGTTTACTTTATGTTTACATTGTCTTTGTTTATGTTATTGTCTGGGCTTTAACTGAGTACATATATTCTTTTCTGGGAATATGCACCCCAGTCCAGAATGGTATTGATGCTAGAATTTTTCAGAGACAGAGCTAGAGCATTTGGCGATTTTAGGCACAAGAAAGGAAGCATTTTTTGTTACACCCTTTTTCCAAACATTGTTCTTGTTACTTCCATAGGTACTTATTGTTTGTGGTTGGCCGTGTAGTAATCTGCAGGAGGTCTTATACACTCTTTTTATTTTTTATTTAGAGATTGGGGTCTCACTATGTTACTCAGACTGGACTTGATCAAACCCCTGGCTTAAGTGATTCTCCCAAGTAACTGGGATTACAGGTGTGTACCGCTGAGCCTGGTGATTTTTACCAGCTCTTATCAGTGGAGTGCCTGTCACTTCCTCCTGTTGTTGTCACCAGGAGCTTCTTTAATGGTGCAGAACGGTAGTTTGCCTGGAGCAGGTTCATTAACCAATATGCTTAAAATATCATTTAAATCAATAGGAATTATGAAATTAGAAACTGACCCTTTCAAAAATGAATTTATTCTCTTTAAATTTATTCAACATACTTAGTTTTAAAAATAGATACATTCCATTTTACTGGTAGTTATATTTGTTATGATTTATTTGAGGGTTTTGTACATCTTGCATAACCTTGAATACAATTTGCATCCAATAATGTGACTTCAGTAGTATCATGGCTTTTGTCCAAACCTTCTCAGTCTGGGAAACATTTAAAGAGAATAATGACCTTAGAGAAAAGCTGGATTTCCTTAAGACTTCTGTTCAGATCAGGACATAATCTTAGGTTCAAGACTGACATAGTATGTAACATGGATTTCAATGAAGAAAAGTACTTCAGAATCAAGTTTTAGGGTTTAGTGGCCTAATCAAAGGAGTCCAGAGGCTATTTTTGGATAATACATAGGAGGTAGAGCAACCTGGTTTTGCTTTTGGTTACCTTTTGACATTGCTAGTGTCTTTCTTGTTCTTATTATGGAGAAGGAATTGAGTGGTCACAGAACTTTTGGAGAAAATGTATCACTTTTTGTTAACTTTGTAATGCTTTTCTGTTCTTGTTTAATAATAACTTACCTTTCAATTATATTAATTTAAATATGTATAAATTGAATTGATTTAAACTACGATCCTTTCCCCCTTTCTTTTTCAGGACTTGAACCAATGAAAGAAGCATATGGCACTTCTGAAGATAAAGGTCACTCCTCCCTTTTTAATTGGAACTTCCGCTTAGGACCTGTGTATGACGTTTCACCTGTGATCTGTAATTTCAGTAGCCACTGACTTTGAGTTACAGCAAGGTCTCTGAAGATTTGTATCAAATGACGTCAATGGCCAGCTTGTTTTCTTTTACTAGTCCAGCAGTAAAGCGATTGTTGGGCTGGAAACAAGGTGATGAGGAGGAAAAATGGGCAGAAAAGGCAGTTGATGCTTTGGTGAAGAAGCTAAAAAAGAAAAAGGGTGCCATGGAGGAACTGGAGAAAGCCTTGAGCAGTCCAGGACAGCCAAGTAAATGTGTCACTATTCCCAGATCTTTAGATGGACGCCTGCAAGTTTCTCACAGAAAAGGCTTACCCCATGTTATATATTGTCGTGTTTGGCGCTGGCCTGATTTGCAGAGTCATCATGAGCTAAAGCCTTTGGATATTTGTGAATTTCCATTTGGATCTAAGCAAAAAGAAGTTTGTATCAACCCATACCACTATAAGAGGGTGGAGAGTCCAGGTAGGTCTTACTCCTGAGAAGAATATGAAAGAAAAAAAAACTCTTCCTGATATGCATGTAACTAGATTTAGTAATAAAAGGTTATGTTAGCTTTGTGTTTCCATCTTAAGTATTCTAATCTTAGAAGAAATGCTGGATTTTGAGTTTAGCTTTTTATATGTAGGTGACACAATTCTCGGGTAGCTTACTCTAATTTATTATTCACTGTAAGCACCCATATATCTCCTCTGCCTTTTCCTGTGGATGACCTGTCTCTGTTTTATTTAAAGCCTAAGCTGCAAATGTGTACTATATCCTATTCCTTTTTGTCTAATTAAGAACTTTGTTCCTACAGTTATCATCCTTCTCTCCAGCATTATATTTTCCCATTCTACCAGAGTATTTCTAATAGCATACAAGCATGCCATGATCCTGCCCATCCTAAAATTAAACTTAAAAAAATTCTGCTTTCCACATCATTCACATACCCCCAACCACAATCACTACACTATTTCTACTGGTCCTTTTATAGGATTCTCCATTTTTATTATCTCCACATCTTTATGTTTCATTTCTTCTTGTCACCTCTCTAGTTAAGTCTTTCCTGCCGTTTAACCTGTCAAGATCACTAGTGACTACCTTTTTATACATCAGGGATTCATTTTTCAGTCTTATTGTCCTCTCAACTGCGTTTGATACAATTGATCTCCTTCCATCCTACTCAAAAGTTTTTCTGTTTGGCTCCTGAGACAGAATGCAGCCTGGTTTTCCCACCTCACTGGCTGTTCTTGTCCCTCTTTGCTGGCATATTCTTTGTTTTCACAGGAGTCTGTCTGTGGACCTTTTCTCCATTTATATTCTTTCTTTATATGCTTTCATGCTGTCACATGTCTTAAGATTGTCTATAAGCTGATGCTCACATTTTGAACTCGAGTCAGCTTCTCCCTTGAGTTTTAGACTTACCTATCCAGTCGCCTACTTGACATGTCCACTTGAATATTTATTAAACATACCAGATATAATATGTCTAAGCAAAACTTCAGTTTTTTTCTCTGGTTTTTCCTATTGAAGTATGTGGCAAAGCATTCATGTATTTGCTGATGTCCTAAACCTCAAGGTCATCTTTTATTCTTCTTGAGTCCTGTATTTAAGTTATGAGCAAGTGCTGTTTGCTGCATCTTCAAAATATATCTTGATAATGTCACCTCTCACCATATCTAACACCAGTACTTTAGTACATAATATCATCATCATCACTCACCTTAAGTAGTCTCCTAATTGGTCTTTCTGCCTTTCTTCTTTCCCTTAACACATTGTGTTTTCTATGCGACAATCAGAATGATCTTTATAAACATAGTAAATCATGTCAGTCCCTACCGAAAATACTTTAAAGGCTATCACACTTAAGAGATTTCTGTAAGACTGTGTGTGACATATCCTCAGAGTTCTCTGTTTCTTGGACTTGCCATCCTCCTGTGTCCAGGCTTTACCTCTTGCTGTTTACTTACTCTCCCCCAAGATCTTTTCATGGCATATTTTCTCATTCCAGTCTGTCCTTGCTCAAATATCCCCATCACTAGTTGACTCGACATTAGATATTTATTTTGTTTATTGACTGACATGAGCAGTGCCTTCCTCTATTTCATTCATTACTGCATCCTTAGTGCCTAGAATAGTGTATTGTTAACTGGCACTTGGTAGGTGATGCTCAGTAAATGTTTTTTTGTAATAAATGAATTGTATAAGCTAAGCTACTAGCTGAGTGTGTTAGTCATCTGTTGCTACATGACTTAGTCACTTAGTCACTGCCACAAACTTAGTCACTTAGCACAATGCATGTTTATTACCTCATAGTTGCTTTCAGTAAGGAGTCCAGTCACACTTAGCTGGGTCCTTTGCAAAGCTGTAATCAAGGTGTTGGTTAGGGCTGAGGTCTTATCAGAAGCTCAGTTAGGGAAGGATCTGCTTCTAAGCCCATGTGATTGTTGACAGATTTGGTTGCTTGCACATAACCTTCTTTATAGGTAGTTCGCATTCATGACAGCTTCTTCAAAGCCAGTAAGGAAGAGAGGGCCTTCTTGCAATAAGGGCATTCTATTCTTATGGAATGTAATCACACATATCCCGTCACCTTTGCCATATTCTGTTGGTTAGAAGGAAGTGATAGGTCATACTCATATTCAAGCAGGGAGAATTACCCAATTTGGATACCTGGAGGTGGGATTTATGATGGTCACCTTAGAGTCTGTCTTGATGGTCACCTTAGAGTCTGTCTTGATTTCACTGGTAATATAAACCCAGTGTGGTAAAAAGACCAAAAATAACATTGGATGAGGAGACTAGTAGAAAGGATAGCAGATAGCAGTGATTATGCTATCTAGGAAAGTTCAACTTAAGAGCTTTAGAGTCACTTTAGACAATTGGTATGATGTGATTCTCAATTTCTTACTGAATCCAAGAAGAGCTGAAACCTGAAGGAATTGATGAAGAAAGGAAGATATGAGGATTTAATAGAGAAGTATAGGCTGAAAAACTCCCAAGCTTGATATTTGCTAGGAGTAAGTCTAGGAATTTTATTTATTTCCCCATAGCCAAAGTGTGACTAATAATCAGCCAGCCAATAGAAGTGTCTTATTTTTTTAATACATTTTTCTCAGCTGTGATTCATTCTATAGAAAAGACTGGGCCATAGCTCTTATACTTTTGAATGACTGCATATTTCATGTCTTAGTAGTTCAGCTGTTGGAAAGAGACTATAGAGACCTCATGTTTGGCCCTGAGTCCGAACATCTTGGGGGAAGGGACAGATCACTAGCTGGATTAGCTTGCTGACCCCCTCATGATTAGGTAGCTATGACACAGAATGGACCAATTTATATTATCAGTGTTAATAAAGTGTAGAAAGTGGTGGCAGTGGTAGTCATAACAGTGATAGCAGTTAATGTTTATTGAGCATTGATGGCATAGTGATTCCTCATGGGGTTAGAAAAGGTTATTGACATTTTACAACCCTTTCAGTTTATTTATAGGTTTATAGATAAGGAAACAAAGACTTGGAAGTAACTTATTCGTGCTCACACAGTTAGAATATAGTGGAGTAAGTTTTGCAAAAAGATAAAAAAGATGGAGGATAGTTTGAAAGAAATGATGAATGTAAGGAAAATAGAGGGCCAACCTAGGTGGTCCTAGGTATTTAGTTGAATACCGTGGTCTCTAACCTTTTTGGCACCAGGGTCTAGTTTCATGGAAGACAGTTTTTTCATGGAACAGATTGGGGGATGGTTTTGGGATGATTCAAGCACATATTTATTGTGTACTTTATTTCTATTATTATTACATTGTAATATGAAATGGAATAATTATACAGTTCACCATAATGTAGAATTAGTGGGAGCCTTGAGCTTATTTTTCTGCAACTAGATTATCTCATCTAGGGGTGATGGGAGACAGTGACAGATCATCAGGCATTTGACTTACGTAAGGAGTGGACAACCTAGATCCCTCACATGCTCAGTTGGCAATAGGATTTGCCATCCTGTGAGAATCTAATGCTGCCACTGATCTGACAGGAGGCGGAACTCAGGCGGTAATGAGAGCAATAGAGAGTGGCTAGAAATATGGAAGAAACTTTGCTCATTCTCACTCACCACTTACCTCCTGCTGAATTGGGGGGTTAGGGACCCCTGATCTAATAGACAGTATTTTCTAGTGATTAAGACTGTGGGTTCTGGAGCCAGGCTTTCGGGATTTGATTCCTGGTTTTACCAAATACTACCTCAGGCAAGATACTTAAGCTTTCTGAGATTTAGTTTCTTCATTATAAAATGGGAATAATACTACCTACCTAATAGGGTTGTTAGGACTAGATGAGTTGGTGCATTAAAAAGTACTTGTTGGAAATAGAGCATTGAGGTATATAGCAGAGAGAAAAATTTCCAGGAAATACTATCAAACAGTTCCCAAAACTGAAAATTGAAAGGGCTCAGTGACCAAGTAATCAGAACAAAGGATAAAAAAAAGCCTCATATGAAATTTTAGGATATCATAGATTTAAAAAAAAGATTCTGAAAAGTTTCAGACAGAAAAGACAGGAAATGTACGAAGGACTGGAAATCAGAATATTGGAGTTCTCTATGCAGTTCTGGATTCTGGAAGAAAGTAAAGCAGTGCTCTCAAAATTGAGAGGGAAATGTTATCTGCCTGCAGACAAACAAAAATACAAGATTTATAAATGCAGGAAGTCAAGAAAATTTAACTTTTTACTTTCTCTTAGGACACTAGTAGAGGATGAAGTCCAGGAAATGTGATCCAACAGTAGAGAAGGGAAGTCCAAGGACTTCAGATTTGTAGGAGACTTAAGCAGTAACCCGTAAAGATTGGAACAAAAGGATGGAAGAACCAAGGGAAAACATGGAGTGAATAAATTATTCGATTTGTGGCATCCAAGCACAAGTAATGATAGGCGTTAACAGGTCTGTTAGAATTCTGGAAATATTAGTGGTATGTACATAAAATTAAATGAGTAAACAGGCAGTGGTTAACTTTAGTAAAAACACTGTTTAAGAAAAAATAGACTCATAGTACACTTGTCTCAGCAATTAATTGTATCTAGGAATACTGGATATTGATTTAAGCAAAATTTTCTATTTAACTTTATTTTGGGCGATAGGAGTGGGCTAGAATAATATAAGAATATGTCTCATTTGCCCTAAGAGCAAGTCTACACATAATATCTTATAATAGCCATATAAGCCTATTATTTAGCAGTACACAAAGTAATGTTATAAGAGATGGCTAAGAGTTTAAATTGTTTTTCTATAGAAATAGTATGGGAGGGGGCTAGAAATTGCATTTTTTGCTGTATATCTAATAGCATATATCCTTTTCTTAAACTGTCCACATATTAACATTATTTTGGATGAACATAAAATAATTTTTTAAAAATCATGTGCATAGGTAATGTACAAGTAAAAGAGAAGCCAGTGAAGTGAGTGATTTTAACATGCCTCTAAAAAAAAAAAAAAAACAAATAAGCAAAGAAATCCTTACCAAACCGAATTCCTGAATAGTTATTTCACTAAGTCTTTCAGATTGCTAGCCTGCTAAATGTAGAATTTCTTGTTGCTTAATGCCCTGCTCTCTAATGGCAGCTATCCCATTATTCTGTAAGGGGAATAGTAGTTGTTAATACACAGTAGAACAAAACAATTTTAGTCAGATGTGAACCACATACTTAGTATGCTAATGCAGTAGAATGAAGTGAAACAATAGACAAAAATAGTACAAATACTGACTTAACAGAAACACTGAATCGTTGTGTACATTCCTACTTCGGGGAGTGAAGTATGACCTAGGTAACTTAAAAACAAACTTATTTTGTTGATGCTGAATGATACAGGATCAAGTTGAGATTTTTCTAAGTGAAATTACATTGACAGATACAGGACAATTGTTAATGAGATGAATTCTAGTAAATGTTTGAAGAATCAGGTTTGTTCAGTTTCCTGTAGGGAAAGGTAATCAGATATTTGAATGTGATTGGTCACTTGGGTCTTTAGAGAAAGTGAATATTTGAATAAAGTTTATCTGTTAAAAATGTTTAGACTTTGTTGGGTATATTTTCATTATGGTCATACTTAGAAGACTTGGATTTTGATTGGAAGGCTTTTACCTAGAGAATATTACTATTTTTAGTATGGAAAACCTTACTGAACCACATAAAACATGAGATTTTTCAACCTAAGAAGATCAAAGTGTTCAAAATTGAAAATCTGGAAGTTTTTAGAGCACATTCACATAACAGGTCCAACTTTACTCTCTAGTCTTACCTCCTTGTTCAGTGCATAGGCCATCTAACTTTCTCATCATCTCTGCCATCTTCCTCTTGTACCTTTCCCCACCCCTAGCACTCCCATGTGAAATCCTCTGGGATCCTTAAGGTTCAGTTGGGTATGGTTTTTTTCCCGCAGTATTTTGTTTTTCTGCCAGCTGGGAGTGTTCACTTCTGTTTAACTCCCATTGTGTTAAATTCTTTGTTTCATGATTGTTTTTTAATATCCTTTATCTCATAGAACAGGAGTGATATCTTTCTCTGGATTTTCTGTCCTGCAGGGTACCTTATGCAGGCTAAATGCTTACAGAGTTTTGGATTCAGTTATTACATAAATAGATTCAGGGCTCTATAAAACAGCTCTTTCTAAAAGTAAATTTTAAAAAAAGATTTACAGTCTTACATGAAAACTTTCTACCAACACTTTAGTGTGGATTGGGCATTTGTTTAGTCATTCCTGACAAATGACTTTTGATTTTTGTTTTTCAGTCTTACCTCCAGTATTAGTGCCTCGTCATAATGAATTCAATCCACAACACAGCCTTCTGGTTCAGTTTAGGAACCTGAGCCACAATGAACCACACATGCCACAAAATGCCACGTTTCCAGATTCTTTCCACCAGCCCAACAACACTCCTTTTCCCTTATCTCCAAACAGCCCTTATCCCCCTTCTCCTGCTAGCAGCACATATCCCAATTCCCCAGCAAGTTCTGGACCAGGAAGTCCATTTCAGCTCCCAGGTAAGACTTTATTTTATTGATACCAAAAAAAAAAAAAAAATTTCCTAAGAATCATATTACTTTGGGCCTTCTGGGTGAACTGTTACATGTCAAGGTATAGCTGTTTTTGACTCTGTTCTTTAGATAATTGTTTGATTTCCAGATGAGTTTAGATTTTATTTGACAAGTACCATGTGTTTTAAAAAATGGAAGTAGCTCTATTTGACTTAAATATTTTCTTGTATTACTGATATTGTGATGAAAGCTATGGCATTAAATTTAATCTTCAGAATGACTATGTGCGATAGATATTCCTGTTTTACAGATGGAAGAAATTCTATAGTAAATTTTAAACTTTAAGTACCTTACCTAGGGTAGGGCTAAGAAGTAGAGGTTCAGACCCAGGTTTGTCTTAACTCTAAAGCCTGTGTTCTTTCAACTTTTCTGTGTGGCTTTTCAAATTGTTTAAGACTTTAGAAGTAAAGTCAATCCAGGTTATCTTTAGATAACTGATGAACTGATTTCACTGGAGAAAGATAAGTAGATTTTGTAAAGTTTCTAAATTTTGTTAATGGCATGTCATGTATGGACATATCATTATGTCACTGTCAAGAAATATTTGAACACTTACTGCTGTCAGGCAGAGTCATATGTAAGTACGGTAAGTCTTCATGTAGTGTCATTGATAACTTCTTGGAAACTATGACTTTAACTGAAACAACATACTACAAAGCCAGTTTTATCATAGGCTAGTTGACATAAACAAGACTTAAGTTCTTGTGGTATATTTTGGTCACAAAAATATCACTAAATTTATAAATAAAGACCCAGAACTCTTCTACTATTAAACATTGAAGTAAATGTGAACTCTGCGTACATTTAAGAAAGATCAGTAAAAAGTAAGACAATTATTTACTTAGTTATTGTAATTCATGGTCATGGGTGGCCAGAGCCCATTCGAGCAGCTCAGGGCACAAGGTGGAAACCAATCCTGAATGAGATGTCATTACATCACGGAGTGGACTCACACACACCCCTGCACTCACACTGGGACCATTTAGACATGCCAGGTCATCTAATGTGCACGTCTTTGGGATGTGAGAAGAAACTAGAGTAACCAGAGAGAACCCAAACAAACATGGGGAGAGTGTTCAGACTCACACAGACAGTGGCCCTGGCTGGGAATGGATTTTTTTTCCCCCTCATCAATGTCATAAGAAAATGAGGCTGAACAAAGCAACACTGAACAAAAAACATTATTCGAGGACCTGCGGCATATTCTTTGTGGTTTCTCTACTGCAGCAAAATATCAATTGGTATAGCTTTTTCTTTTGAAGAGAAATTAAGTGCCAACTGTTTAATTTGCTATTAGGAATTTGCTCAAAAACAAATTTTCATAACTTGTCTTAGATTCAGTGCTGATTAATGTAGTTCTGTCTCAAAATACATTTTGTACAAACATTGGGATGAAAGAAATTTGGTTCTTATTTATAGTTACTAAGACAAAAAAGTATAACTGTATCTTTTGCAAAAGTTTTCAACTATAAGTGTTGAAACTCAAAGGATTTTCTGGTTAACGTTTAGTTTCCTGAGTGAATTATCTTAACCACATAATAGGACACAACAGCCATGTTTGGATGTTGCCCAAGCATTAGAGAATTGCTGTTAGTGTTGATGGCAAATTTTGAAGGGACTTCAAATTTTTAGTTTTACTTTGCAGTTTTAAATGACAGCATACAGTATGTGCTGATCTTAATAATTTAAAAGTATTTCTGTAGTATGTATATACCCAAATGAGGATAATCTGTCCTTCAGATTGATATGTAATAGGTGCAGTTTCTCTGAGCACATAAAAATAAAGGCAAAATTATTGACCTGGAATTCCGGTTAGTGAATTTTAGGACTGATCCTCGTATCCTGGATTACAAGGGATCTAGGCTAAATAAACATGGGCTTGTAAAAGGTTTTCAATTGCTATTAGATGTACTGTCTGTTCTCTTTTTCCCTTGCCCTAAGATGGTATCCTGCATTTTCATGTGTGTGATGTTCAGTAATAAAGCTTGCTGGTAATCTTAAGAATTTTCTAAAGCTTTTAGAGTAATAATTTTGAGCAGAATGAAGATTTTAACTGTTATTTTTTTCCTCTTAGCTGATACGCCTCCTCCTGCCTATATGCCACCTGATGATCAGATGGGTCAAGATAATTCCCAGCCTATGGATACAAGCAATAATATGATTCCTCAGATTATGCCCAGTATATCCAGCAGAGGTAAGAGAAGTACTCACTTCATTTATTTTGTAGTAGTAGTTGTTTTTAACTTACTGGCTACTTTTTAAAAAACAGCATTATTGTATTATTGAGGTATAATTTATGTGCTATGAAATTTATCTGTTTTAAGTGTATGATTCAGTGATTTTGTTTAGAACATTTCCATAACTCTTCAAAAAGGTTCCTCTGTGTATTTGCAGTCTGTCCTCACTCCCATCCTCACCTCCACATACTATCTCTAATGTGTTTTCTGTGCCTGTAGATTTATCTTTTCTGAACATTTTATGTAACTAGAATTATGTAATAATGTAGTCTTCTTTCACTAAGCATGCTTTCAAGGTTCATCCATGTTGTAGCATGCATCAATAGTTTGTTCCTTTTTTATTGCTGAACAGTGCTTTATATGAATATATCACATTTATTCACCAATCAGCATTTGAATTGTTTCCGTATTTTGCTTATTATAAACATTTGCTGCTGGGTGCAGTGGCTCACGCCTATAATTCTAGCACTTTGGGAGGCTGAAGCAGGTGGATCACTTGAGGTCAGGAATTCAAAACCAGCCTGGCCAATATGGTGAATCCCCGTCTTTACTAAAAATACGAAAAAAAAAAAAAAAAAAAAAAAAAATTAGTGGGGCGTGGTGGCAGTTGCCTGTAATCCCAGCTACTCCAGAGGCTGAGACAGGATAGGCAGAGGTTGCAGTGAGCTGAGATCATTGAGATCATTGTCCACTGCACTCCAGCCTGGGCAACAGAGCAAGGCTCCATCTTAAAAAAAAAAAAAAAAATTACATATAAGTCTTCGTGTGGACATTGTTTTATTTCTCTTGGATGGATATCTAGGAGTGGAATTGCTGAAGCATATGGTAAGTTTAACTACTTAAGAAAACTACAAAACTTCTCTGAAGTGGCAGTACCATTTTATATTCTCACCAGCAAAGTATGATGTTTCTATTTTCTCCATTTCCTCCTAAACACCTGTTATTGTCTGCCTTTTTAATTATAGCCATTCTAGTGGGTGTAAAGTGCTTACTGTGGTTTTTAATTTGCATTTCTCTAATGAGTAATGAGGCATTTTTTAAATGTACTTATTAGCCATTTATCTTTTTTGATGTTTCTATTTTAAATTTTTTGCCCATTGAGTTGTCTTACTGAGTTGTAAGAATTTTTTATATATTCTTCTTTTATCAGATATATGATTTGTAGATATTTTCTCAGTCTGTGGATTTCTTTTCATTTTCTTAATGATGTCTTTTGAGGTATAATAGCTTTAAATTTTGATGAAATCCATTTTGTCAGTTTTTTTTATTTCTAGATGATGCTTTTAGTGTTGCATTCCAGAAATTTTTATCTATCCAAGGTCATGAAAATATCATTTTATGTTTTCTTCTAGAAGTTCTATAGTTTTAGCTCTTACCTTAGGTCAGTGGTTCCTTGTGAGTTAAGTTTGTGTGTGATATATGGTAAATGTTTACATTAAGTTTTTTGCATATAGAAATCCAATTGGCTTTACCATTTGTTGAAAAGAGTATCATTTCTTTGGTGAATTAACATCTTTGTCAGAACTCAATTGACCGTAAATGCCAGGGTTTATTAAGGGGAGTTGACTCACATGATCACAAGGTAAAGTCCTACGATAGGCCATCTGCAAGTTGAGGAGCATGGAAGCCAGGGATGGATCAGTCTGATTTCCAAAACCTCAATAATAGGCAAGCTGACAGTGCAGCCTTCAGTCTGTGGCCAAAGGCCCAAGAGTGCCTGACAAATCACTGGTGTAAGTCTATGAGTCCAGAAGCCGAAGAATTTGGAGTCTGATGTTTGAGAACAGGAAGCATCCAGCACAGAAGAAAGATGAAGGTCAGAAGACTCAGCAAGTCTGCTCTTCCATCTTCTGCCGGCCTGCTTTATTCTAGCCACGCTGGCAGCTGATTAGATGGTGTCTACCCAGATTGAGAGTGGATCTGCCTCTCCCAGCCCACTGACTCAAATGTTAATCTCCTTTGGCAACAGCCTCACAGAAACACCCAGGAAACAGTATTTTGTACCCTTTAGTCCACTCAATTTGATGCTCAATATTAACCATCACAGCACCGAATATTACTTCATTGTCTTGGTTGTACCACAGTTTAACTGTTCACTTACTGAAGAACTTTTTGTTGCTTCCAAGTTTGAGCAATTAAGAATAAAGCTGCTATAAACATTCATGTGCAGATTTTTTATGCAGATATAATTTTAATCTCATTTGAATAAATAACAAGAAACATGATTGCTAGATTGTATGGTAAGAGTATGTTTAGGTTTGTAAGAAACTACCAAAGTCCCTTCTAAAGTGGCTGTATAATTTTTGCATTCCCAATTATGGATGAGAGTTCCTGATGCTCCTCATCCTTACCAACATTTGATGTTGTCATTATTTTGGATTTTGGCCAAAATTCTTTGGCCAAATTCTTTGTATATTTTGAATTTTAGTCTTTTATCAGATATTTTGCAGATTTTTTCTTTGTAATCTGTGGCTTGTCTCCTCATTCTCTAAATTTTAATGAAGGCCAGTTTATCAGCTCTTTCTTTCATGGGTTGTACCTAAAAAAAGGCATTGTCATACCCAAAGTCATCTAGATTTTCTCCTCTATTATGTTCTAGGAATTTTATAGTTTTGCATTTTACATTTAGGTCTGTAATCCATCTTGGGCTAATTTTAAAAGCATAAGGTCTAGTCTAGATTTACTTTTTCGACGTAGCTGTCCAGTTGTTTCCTGAATCATTTTTTGAAAAGAATTATTTTTTTCCCTCCATTGTATTGCCTTTGCTCCTTTGTCAAAGTCCAGTTGACTGTATTTATTTGGGTCTATTTCTAGATTCTCTATTCTGCTTCTTTGATCTGTTTATTCTTTTATTTTATCATAATCTTGATTACTGTATCTTTATAGTAAGTCTTAAGTATAATAAGTCAGTCCTCTGACTTTGTTCTTCTTTGATATTGTGTTGGCTATTTTGAGGCTTTTGCCTCTTCATATAAGCTACAAAAATCATTTTGTTTTTATCCACAAAATAGCTTGCAGGGGTTTTGATTGGTATTATTTCTTTATAGATTAAGCTGGGAAACACTGCCGTCTTGACAATATTGAGTCTTACTCTTGAATGTGCAGTACTTTTCCGTTTATTTAGTTCTTTGATTTCTTTCATTAGAGTTTTGTAGTCTTGCTTATAGAGCATGTTTGCATTTTTTTTTTAGATTCATACCTAAGTATTTAATTTTAGGGATGCTAATGTAAATTGTAATTTTTATTTTAGATTTCATTTGTTTGTTGTTCGTGTATAGGAGAGCAATCAACTTTTGCATATTAACCTTGTGTCTTGCAATCTTGCTATAATGCTTACTAGTTCTACGAATTTTTTGGTTAGTTCTTTCTCTTTTTACATAGACAATCATGTCATTTGCAAACAAAGACAATTTCTTTCTTTGCTATCTGTATACCTTTTATTTCTTTATAGCATTAGCAGAGACTTCCAGTATGATGTTGAAAAGTAGGAGAGGAACCATCCTTACTTTGTTTTTGATCTTAACAGAAAATCTTCTGGTTTCCTGCCATTAAGTATGATGTTAGCTGTAGATGTTCTTATCGAGTTGAGGAAATTCCCCTCTATTCCTAATTTGCTGAGTCTCACTTAGTTTTTTAATTTAACTTTTTGTTTAAAATACTTTTACAGATACTGATTATAGTTAAATATTTCAGGTTGCTGAAAAAGAAATGTTTATCTCAAATTTAAACCTGAATTAGTTTCTGTTAGAGAAACAATTAAAAATATGTTGTTAGCCGGGCGTGGTGGCTCCCACCTGTAATCCCTGCACTTTAGTAGGCCAAGGTGGGTGGATCACCTGAGGTCAGGAGTTCGAGACCAGCCTGGCCAACATGGTGAAACTTCATCTTTACTAAAAATATAAAAATTAGCTGGGCATGGTGGCATGTGCCTGTAGTCCCAGCTACTCGGGAGGCTGAGGCAGAAGAATTGCTTGAACCAGGGAGGCAGAGGTTGCAGTAAACCGAGATTACGCCACTGCACTCCACTGTGGGTGACAGAGCGACACTTTGTCTCAATTAAAAAAAAAGTGTTGTTGCTAAATTGTGTCTTCCAAAATTATTCATGTATTGAGCCAAGGCCTGGGTACCACCTCACTCATTTAGAGGGTTAGAAGGGTAAAACATCAAACTGAAGAGGTTTATTTTCCTGCCTTAAGGCCTAGTGGAATTTGCTTTGCTAGATTTTCAATTTCCTTAACCTGTGATCACTCCCTTTTATGTTTTTCCATTTTGGAATGGGAATGTCTATCGTGTGCCTGTCCCACCATTATAGTATTGAGAGGAATTTTGCCTCAAGTCTCATCCATATCTTAAGTAGTTGGTTTTTAGATGATACTAGGCTTACGACATTACAGTTGATGGTGAAATGAGTTAAAATTTCAGGGGCTGTTGGGATAGTATAGTATATATGTGTGTATTTTGCAGGTAAGAAGGATGTGAAATTGGGGTTGCTGGGTTGGAATGCTAACAGACCAGGTTTAATATCTCTAAAATTTATATGTCGAAGCCCTAATTCCCAGTGTGATGGTATTTGAAGATAGGGCTTTCTGGACATAATTAGGCTTATTTGAAGTCATGAGAGTGGGATTGTTCCCTTGTAAGAATGAATGCAGAAGGAACTGCCAAAACACTTATGAAGCCATCAGATCTTGTAAGAACTCACTCACTAGCATGAGAACAGCCTGGGGAAAACCGCTCCATGATCAAAGTAACCTCCACCTGGTCCCTCGACATGTGGGGATTACAATTTGAGATGAGATTTGAGTGGGGTTATGGAGCCAAACCATATCACTTGCCCAGCTCCCATAGCTAAATCACTTTGGGCTAAATCACTTTGGGAGTGATTTGGCTCCCAACTAATATATTAGTTCCCTTATAAGAAGAGGAAAAGAGACAGTTTTTTTCTAAGAGCATGCACTGAGGAGAGGCCATATGAACACACAGTGAGAAAGCAGCTGTCTGCAAGCCAGGAAGCAGGTCCTCACTAGTTACCAAATCTTTTGGCACTTTGATTTTGGACTTCCCAGTCTCCAAACCTGCGAGAAATCAATTTCTGTTGCTTAAGCCACTTAGCCTTATGATATTTTGTAGCCCGAGCAAACTAAGACTATTGCCTATCCTGGTATTTCTATAACTTTTTAAATTTTCTAGTGCCTATTTCTAGTACCTGTTTTTGGATATAGATTCATAGCTAGGAAGGATGGTGAGACTTGTGAAATATCCGAAAATTTTCTTTTTCATGTAATGCTTGGGTTGGGTTAAAAGATAAACACATAGACAATCTGAGTTTCTGAAATTCATTTATTAAACTTGTTCTCTGTCTGGTTTGTTCACAGATGTTCAGCCTGTTGCCTATGAAGAGCCTAAACATTGGTGTTCAATAGTCTACTATGAATTAAACAATCGTGTTGGAGAAGCTTTTCATGCATCTTCTACTAGTGTGTTAGTAGATGGATTCACTGACCCTTCAAATAACAAAAGTAGATTCTGCTTGGGTTTGTTGTCAAATGTTAATCGTAATTCGACAATTGAAAACACTAGACGACATATTGGGAAAGGTAATCTTGTCATTTTCCTATGTGTAATTGAATTCAATTTGTTGTACTTGCCATGAACCATTGTGAAAGGTGCTAGAAACATACAAAGAAGCTTAACACATGGCCTCTCCCTTAAGTTGCCAATATTGAAGAATGTATTAATCAAATAAAGGCATGATCTTTCCTCATTTTCTTGTCCTGCTTAGTTTTTCTTCCCAGTGCTAAGGATCTAAAATCATACGACTACTTTGTTCTTGGAGTGTTACCCTGACTGAAACATAAGCTGTACAGGAACTTGTCTTATTCACAACAATATCCGCAGTAGCTAGAAGAGTACTTCATTGTAAATACATGGCATATATTTATGGAATATTGTGTATGGATGCTGGTGAAGTATTCGAATGTTATGATTACAGTGTTTGTGGAGTATTTTGGGTTGAGATGATTTGTAAGAGTTACCATGATGTTAGAGGAGCGGAATTAGAAATGGGAAATCCAGTGTGAATGATGTTCCAGTGGCTTCACCACCACCGCTCCCATCTTTTAAATTTAGGCAATAAGATTTTATTAATAATTTATCCTGCAAGATAGTTGCCACAACAAACTTGGCCCTTTTCTCATTGCAATAAAATGTGAAAGTCTTATCCATTAAGTGGTCAGGAAGGAAACCCATCCCAGGTAGAGTGTATTGCCTGTTTCTTGAGATGTTTTGTTTTTACCCCTTGCTGCATTTTGCTTCTTTGACTTGAGGGAATCTTGGTCCAAAATAGGAACAAAAGGTAAATAAATACAATTGTGATGTGATTTCTTATAGAAGTGATTCAGAAAAATCCTATGGCCAGAAAACTTTGAGAAACAGTTTTTGTTGCATTTTGACTTTACTGCTAACTTACCTTAATTTTTTTCAGTGAGGTGCCTCACTTCTGATTTTTTTTCTTCCACCACAATGGAAATAAGGGAAATCTATTTTGTGAATTTTGAAATTCTAGAATCAGTTTTTTCTTTTCCCCCAGCATACAGTTCTAGGACCTTTTCTTTCATGGGTTAGTTTTCACGTGGTGGAGGGATATGTTGGGAAATACTAGGTGACTAGCTTAAGTTATATACTATGAATATTTAATGTTAAAACTGTTTCCACATATTTATATATTTTTAAAAATTTTCTCTTTTTGCCCTTACATCTTGCAAAGGAATATATGTATATTTTTTAATATAAAAAAAATTTAGGTAAGATGAATCTGCTGTGTCAAAGCTCTTCTTGTAACATGAAATTATATATGTAACTTTGGGGTTTTTTAAAGTGTTGTTGTCCTATTTGTGTGCACAGAGTGCAAAAAGTCTGTCAAATGACTTTATGATAGTTGATAGCACTGAGCATTTATTTGAAAAGACTCAACAAAAGAAGATTTTGGGTTTTTTTTTTAACCTTTCTCTTTCTTTCATAGAGATCATAAATGATTGTTGGAAAAGGAAAAAGAGCCAGCCTAAAAATGTGTATCTTAATATGCTGCCAATTTGAGCCTTCACTGTTGTAGATGCAGGCAGATATTAACCTCTTGACTATCTTTGGCAGCAGAAGGCCATCTAGTGGTAACTTCTGTCTAAAGATTATTGGAAGTTTGCTGTGGATTAATGAGTACTTTGGTTATACCATACAGTCTCTTTGGTTTCATTACAATGATTCTGTAAGCTGACTCTTGTGATGCCTGTCTTTTTAAGGTGTTCATCTGTACTATGTTGGTGGGGAGGTGTATGCGGAATGCCTCAGTGACAGCAGCATATTTGTACAGAGTAGGAACTGCAACTTTCATCATGGCTTTCATCCCACCACTGTCTGTAAGATTCCCAGCAGCTGCAGTCTCAAAATTTTTAACAATCAGGAGTTTGCTCAGCTTCTGGCTCAGTCTGTCAACCATGGGTTTGAGGCAGTATATGAGCTCACCAAAATGTGTACCATTCGGATGAGTTTTGTCAAGGTGAGTGGGTTGAGACCGCTAAAGTAATTTGAGTCACTGTAAATATGTATATTGTGTCTTTAGGTTATAATTTTAAAAAAGTATTTGTTAAATGAAAGTTGATGATTATTTTTGACCTAAGAGGTTTTTAAATAAGATTATTGAATTTATAATTTTAACTACATAGGATACATCTAAGATTGCGTTTTGTAATCCAGACATTATAAAATGCTTGGTTGATGATTGATTTTGATGTTGAACAGGCCTGAGATTATAAGGAATTTTAGTTCAAAGATTAAATTTCTAGAAAGCATTTGTATTAGTCTGTTTTCATACTGCTAATAGACATACCCCAGACTGGGTAATTTACAAAGAAAAAGAGGTTTAATGGACTCAGTTCCATGCGGCTGGGGAGGCCTCACAATTATGGCAGAAGGCAAAGGAGGAGCAAAGTCATGTCTTATGTGGTGGCAGGCAAGAGAGAATGAGAGCCAAGTGAAAGGGGAAACCCCTCATAAAACCATCAGATCAGTTGGGTGCGGTGGCTCACACCTGTAATCCCAGAACTTTGGGAGGCCAAGTTGGGTGGATCACGAGGTCAGGAGTTCAAAACCAGCCTGGCTAAGATGGTGAAACCCCGTCTCTACTAAAAATATGCCTGTAATCCCAGCTACTCGGGAGGCTGAGGCAGAGAACTGCTTGAACCCAAGAGACGGAGGTTGCAGTGAGCTGAGATCATGCCACTACTGTACTCCAGCCTGGGTGACAGAGCAAGACTTGGTCTCAAAAAAAAAAAAAAAAAAAAATTAGATTTTGATTCTCATAGTAGTGAGAAACTGCCCCCATGATTCATTTATCTCCCACTGGGTCCTTCCCACAATAGGTGGGAATTATGGGAGCTACAGTTTAAGATGATTTTTGGGTGAGGACACAGCCAAACCATATCAGCATTTAATATTAAAATTGCTATTTGAGTCTCTTAGCTTCAACAGTTTTGATTATTAGTACTAGCTTTCATTAGGGTGACTTAGCAGAATTCTTTAGAATATTATTTTATTTCTAGCTAAGTGCTGTTATTAAATGACAGAATCCACAATTACTTTTTTACCAACCTTAATATGAAGGATTTGCAAAGTTCAAAGGAACTTTTCAAGTTTATCATCTACTCTCTTGGCCTGATTTTATTGACATTCCAAAGATTTGTGCATAAAATTTGAAAAGAATTATAGTCATATATTTAAGCAACCTGTACTGTATCTACAGGGTACTTAAGAATTTAGCACAGGAAGAGCACCTGTTACATGCTGTGCATGGGGTTTTTCTTTTTGGTATTCAGCCCCTGTCCAGTGTTCTCATGATACTTTGCAGTAGGTCTCCTGCATGCATCAGTTTACTGGTTGCCCTGAAGGCATTTCTCCCTTCTTCTATAGAAATGTGCCTTTTTCATATTTATTTTACTCTCCACTCCCCAGTCTTCACTCCCCTGACTGCCCTCTCTCCCCTACCCAGTTTTCCTGGGCTAGGACTATCATAAGCAGTAAACTAGAGAACTTGATAAACTGAGGACAAGAAAAGTGAAAATTTTATTATTTTAATTTTTATCTGGAATTTTAGGCTAAAGGTTTAGTTCAGTTCCCCCCGGTAATTTCCCATCTTAAAGGATAATCACTATGTGATTGCCACATTAAATTAAGCACATGTATTGATCAATCTCTACAATGCCTTATCTGATAGTCAAAGAACTTAAGAAATATTTGGTTAAAACAATTCTGACATCTTACATTTTTACATAAGGCTATTTATGAGTTTTATTTATCCCATTAAGTGAGAATGTATCTCACTGCAGAAATATTTATATTTTAATTATGAGATACTGTACTGTGTTACCTAAGATTTAAAAAACAAAAAATTCTGAAATATATCTGGCTCCAAGGGTTTCTGTTAAGGGAATTATATATTATTTTTAAATTCATGTATCTTTAAATAATGTAGCTGTTGTTTGGCTTTTTATTTCATGGTGAATACAGTTTTGTAGTAGTTATTCTCTTTACATAAATTCTGTATATCTCTACTGTTAAGCTCTCTTTTTGTTATGGTAAAACTGGTTTAGAGTGGTTGACAGTTTAAAGAGGGATTTGTGATGATATGTGTTCATTTTCATAGGGTTGGGGAGCAGAATATCACCGGCAGGATGTAACCAGCACCCCATGTTGGATTGAGATTCATCTTCATGGGCCTCTTCAGTGGCTGGATAAAGTCCTTACTCAGATGGGCTCCCCTCTGAACCCCATATCTTCTGTTTCATAATGCAGAAGTATTCTTTTCAATTATATCATTAGTGGACTTGTTTTAATTTTAGAGAAACTTTGAGTACAGATACTGTGAGCTTACATGGAAAACAGATATTACAGCTTATTTTTTTTTTCTACATAATTGTGACCAATACATTTGTATTTTGTGATGAATCTACATTTGTTTGTATTCATGTTCATGTGACTAACTCTCAAAAGTGTTACAAAAGATGCAGAGTAAGTATTATGCCCCAGTTCAGAAATTTGGCATTGATCTTAAACTGGAACATGCTTTTACTTTATTGTCCTAACAATTTTTTATTTGTTAAATTTATTTGAAAATGCATCACATGATGAAAAGTTAAAATAGCTTGTAAGAGGGTATATACAGTGAAGAGTAACTCTTCCCTTCTACTCTTGATCTTCCAGAAGCTGTATTTTTACCAGTTTCTTTGTCCCTCCAACTTAAAAAAAAGAGTAATTCATTGTTTTGCAAAAGTGTGTGGTAGGGGCTTAAAAGAAACTATAAAAAAAGTTTTATTTGAAGGAACATTATGCACTGCTCTAACCAGTAGTGTTCAGTAAAAGCAAAGTGATAGTTTTCTAGATGAGATAAAATTTACATTTAATACAGATAAGTGTTCGTCAGTGTAATGTGACTTCATGCTATATATCTTTTGTAAAACATTTTCTTTTTTAAAAAAAATTATTGCAAACAACTGATCTCAAGTATGTCATTTACTCAAAATCTGTCATAAGCATTACTTTATAGCTAGTGACAGTGCATGCACAGCCTTGTTCAACTATGTTTGCTGCTTTTGGACAATGTTGCAAGAACTCTGATTTTGACATGCATTAATCTTTTATTTTGCACTTTTATGGGTGACAGTTTTTAGTGTAAACTTTGATAAAACACACTCAAGTGACTTGGACTTAGATGCTGATCGTTAACGTCCTTGGTACCTTTTTTGTATTAAAAAACATAGCAATTTATAGATTACATTTGTAGGAAGTTAAGCTTTTTTCTAGTTTTGTTATATTTTCAACCTAGGTAAAGACTGTTATTCTATAGCTCCAACTTAAGGTGCTTTTTAAATTCCCCACAGTTTTCTGGGTGTTATTAATGCTGGAAAATTATGTACTTAATCCCATTGCTCTTACTTGCATCAGCCTCAATATGCAAGGACCTATGCCGTAGCCATAGAAGGCTCTTCAGTTGGGCCCCAAGGATGAGGCTACTGATCTGATATTAAATGAATCAGAAGTGGATGTAGGGATAGCTAATTTAAAAACCCTCACTTGGCTGAGCATGGTGGCTCACGCTTGTAATCCCAGAACTTTGGGAGGCCAAGGCAGTTGGATCACAAGGTCAGGAGTTCGAGACCAATCTGGCCAATATGGTGAAACACTGTCTCTACTAAAAATACAAAAATTAGCAGGGCTTGGTGGTACAGGCCTGTTGTAATCCCAGCTACTCGGGAGGCTGAGGCAGAAGAATTGCTTGAACCAAGGAGGCAGAGGTTGAGTGAGCTGAGACTGGGCCACTACACTCCAGCCTGGGCGACAGAGCGAAACTCCATCAAAAAAAAAAAAAAAAAAAAAAAACCACTCACTCATCAACAAATACAGACTATAGACTCTTCTCTCACTTATCAGTGATGCTCTTTTTCCATTTTTTAAGTACCTGTGTGGAAGCTAGTCTCCCAAAACACAACCTTTAGAAAGGAAAGACGTGAATGAAAACTCTAAAATATCCCATTAATGAGTCATGATTTTGGCTTCGGGTAAAGGACTTTGAACCAATGTTTTTCTCGAGAGCCATCAAATGGACACTTAGTTATAACATGAGAATGAAGAAATTATTTTGGGAAAAAAATGACCTAATTCACCTATCAGTGAAAGCTTTATTTTCTGGTGCCTTTTAAAAATATGTGGAGCCATGTCATTCTTCTGTTTAAAATGTTAGTTGGTTTGACTTTCCATTTTGTCTTTCTGCTCTTGTGAAGAAGAAAAAAAGCATTTTTAAGCAAAGAATTATGCAATTCCTTTTGTTTTCTGTGTCTTATTTATTGCTTTTTCAATGTGCAGCCAATGGATGGTTTTAGTTCTTTCAGATGAAGTGCCTTTGTGTTTCAGCTCACAGTTCTTTGCTGGGTAAAAGAAATACTTTCTGACAGTCACCTGAGCATTAAATGTAAGTATTATATGACATACATTCTGTTTCTTCCAGAGTTCTGTCAGCCACATGAAAGAGAATATTTGCTTACTGGTAGAACTTTGGCATTTTCATCATTCTTTTACTTAGCAGGCTTATGGCACCATCTCTGGAACAAATTTGTAGAAAAAATTACTCCAGTTGAATGACGGATGTATATAATCAACTGCATTGGGCTGCAGTAAACTAATGGAAATTATAGAATTGTTTTATTGGTGTTTTCTACTGAGTTAATTAAAAATGGTTTTTATTTGGGATCATTATGTCACAGTCTTCAGTTAACAAGATCTTACATGATTGGCCTTTTCTTTGTTTTCTCTTAGGAATTAGTTCTCATGAATGACAGTACTAAAGCAATTAACAAGAGTTTGACAGAGAACTATAAGCCTGTTGTATTTCCTAAAAGTTGTCAACTCCACACTCTTGAACTTGAAATGAAAACTTTATTTAGTCCAGCTATTCTTACAGTCCCTAAGGATTTTCATATATCTATGTATAGGAAGTAAAATTTGCTAGTAAGATTTTTAGAAACTAAGAAAAATTCTGGTTAGTGAAAGGAAAGTACCTCTGAAAGAAACCATTTTAGCAAGTTACAGTTATACATTTTAATTTAATCTACAGAATGTTTTATAGTAAAATTTATTAAAACAGCACCACTAGAATCACATGGCACGTACAACATATTTATACTGGCTGAAATGACAGAATCTGGGAATAATAAAATTGCAACCAGTTTGATAATGCAAAAAAAGCAGAATAGAGTGAAATCTCAGTAATGAATTAAAGCACAAAAAGATACTGATTGGCAAAAAGCAAGGTACAAGAGGTACATTTGCTTAACATCTCTAAATAATATTTATGGTCTGGTCAGTATTGCCTGGCTAATATGAAATGCAAACTAGTAGGCATGTTAATAATCTAATGAAACTAATCTTTTTGTTTTAGGAGGCAATTTAAGTAAGACATCAATACAAAATGTCAAATATGTGTTTCAGGATATAAATCATTTTTCACATTTTATTGTTGCTATATATAAAAAAAATAGAGTTGGCTGGGTTTCTAAGGTGAAATCCAGAGTAATATTACTAGATAGACAGTTCAACAAGCCACATCTAATAGCACAGATAGAGGATGTAGCTATCTTATACCTTTCCTAACATTTGAGAGTAAGACATCCTTTAGGATGTCAAGTGATCATTAAGTACTCATATTTGAAATCTATTGTCAAGATTAGAACTGGGGTTCAGGTTAAAAAACCTTTCATATTACCTAAGGGTACCTGTGGGAAACAGTTCCTTCCCCTGTGGTAGTATTTTGTGGAAGAGAAAGTTTATACAAAAAATGAAATCCTACCAACAGCAGAGAAAATAAAAAGTTTGATAGTACCTATCAAAGTGCTGTACTTCTGTAGAGAACATCTGATGTACCAATTTAGATCTTTTTCTTTATACTTCTTCTAGTCATTTACTTAATAGTACTTTGGATCATTATCACCTTTGCCACTTAACATATATAAATATCCTTTTTACTTTGTGAGGAAGGAAGAATTTTTTGATAATTACTGAGTTCAGCCTTTTGTGATGACTTATATTTTAAGAGTGTCAGATCCCTTCCTTGTCTTACTAGTTAAATCCTCACTTAATTTCTTGTGTATGAATGAATATAAAAGTGTGTCATCATTATATTGTTCAGCTAGATGAGCAGGTGTCTTAGGGTAGTAGATAGCCTGGTGGTTTTAGAAGTGTTTGGTAATTTTTATGGAGGGAGTTTTCCTAAGTGGTGGTTTATAGGTGGTATCAGATATTATTAGGGCAGCTTTTTGGGGAGTAATCTCAGGTCCCTAGAGGAGCAGCGTATTTCTCATTGTAAGATTCTTGGGAGCTTTTCGTATCACACAAGATGCATGAATCGAATGTGGGAAATGAAGGCATTTCTTCTGCATAAACAAAGAATTCTGCCTGCACGACAGAAACCTGGACAGTTCTTTGGAATTCACTGAATTACAGTTTAGTTTGTCCTGATTACAGAATGACAATATTTTTCAAGCCTTTTTATGTTGGATTAGCTTATCTCCTAAAATAGAACTGTACTATAATTGAAATGACACCCTAAAATTGGATGGTTTACCAATACCAATGAAAGGAATTTTACACATCAATTTTTATTTTTGTTTTGAAGTAAGAGCACATGCTATATAATAATTGTTAGCAGCAATTGCTATAAAGCAAGTGATGAGTTATTTCTCTGAAAAGATCCAGTCCTAGAGCAGGATTTTTTGATCATTCATGACAGAGTGAGAAAGGTTTGTGTGGTTCTTGTCCAAATAACTCAGTTTTTAAAATTCTTAAAATCATTAGCCATTATCCTTTAAAGGTTTATTTGAAGATGCTGTTAAAGTACAGAATTTTGTGTACAGGTAGATTTTTTACCCCTCATTAATAGTGCCTTCTTAATACAAGCTGGTGTTAGCTATAACAAAACTCCAGTAAGGCCAAAGAATCCCAAGTTCTTTGTTTTAAAAAAAAATCTTTTAGGATCAGGCTTTCCCTTCTAAGAATCATTGGAGATGATGTTGCGTTGATTTATTCATGAAGTACTTTAACTATAGGAACTCTAGAAGATAATGGTTAGGCAAGTGATTTTCTTTTTAACATGATTGGCTTAAGTTGTACTTTGAAATTCACTTATTTTAAAATTGAAGAGGATTTTAATCATGGAAATTGAACGTTTGTATCTACCTGCCTACATTTTCTTAAAAAATATTTCATATGCAGATAATGAAGACCAAGCCAATGGCTGCACTGTAGGTCTGCTGCTTATTTGTATTTGTTTTGTTTATGTTGTAGAAGTTGAAATTCTAGCAACATACTTCAATTCTGTTATTTTGATACTTATATATTAGGTTTTACTATATTGTGCTTTTCAAAGCCATAACTCTTAAAAACTTTGTTTTTGCATATTGTTTGCTAATTCTTTATTTTAATAAACCTCAAAAACTGCTTAATGTGTCTTGTTTTATTTTTCCCTGTTTTGGCTCTGGAGTCGGCCAACTGCCTGTGTTGAGTCATGGGTCTCATAGCTTAGACAAGTTGCTTAACCATTCTATGCCCCACTTTCTTGACCTATAAGTAAAAGTCTACTTCATAGGAAGGATTTGAGGGAAGAGTAATTAAGTGTAATACAAATAAAGTATTTAGAACAGTACTTAGAACATAAGAACTCATATTTTAAAATTATTACTGTCTTTTATATTTCTACTAGTTCTTTGATTCAGAATAATTATTTCTGATGTTGTTTGACCTTGGTATATCAACCTTTTATTATCTACTTTGTGTTTTACCATTATTTTTTATTTTCTTCAGTCTTCTCCTTTTTTGAAAAAATTTTAAATCACCGACTGTCTTTGTATCATTCTTACTGTGGTACACACTTTTACCGACTTCTGAATTACATGTACAAGATATGCAAACTCATTCTAATTAGAAAGGAATGGTAAAAAATCATGTGCCCTAGCCAGAAAACTAAAAGAAAATGAACTAAATATTTTAACCCTAGAGGATAAATGTAAAAGCACTTGTTTTTTGTTTGTTTGTTTTTTAAGGAAAAAAAGACTTCCTCTATACAGGCTTGTCCAACCCGCGCCTGTGGGTTGCGTGTGGTCCAAGACAGCTTTGAATACGGCCTAACCCAAATTGGTAAACTTTCTTAAAACATGAGATTGTTTTGCAAGTTTTTTATTTTTATTTTTTATAGCTCATCGGCTATCGTTAATGTGTTTTATGTGTGGCCTAAGACAATTATTCTTCCATTGTGGCCTAGGGAAGCCAAAAGATTGGACATTCCTACCAATTTCTGAGAATCAGTTCCTTCCTATGTCTTTTTACTTAAAAGGCATTTTGTAAGATATTTTGTAGCAACATCACTGGTTGTTTTAGAAGTGTATTTTTTAAAAAGCACACTTGTCTTGGCAAAAGAGTTCAGTGAGCACTAAGAGGATGTTGGCTTCTCTTGGGTTTAAGATAATTAGTTTTCAGGTTGCTGTAGCCAAAACAGTTCATATGATGAGGGGGTGGGATAGTGGCTAATATTATTTAGTATTTATTACAGCAGTTTTGATGCAGCTGTTTTATGAACATTTTTAAGAAGGTTGCCAGTAGGCTGCAGCAATGCTTTTAAGGTAGTACTTATTTAGAACTCTGTAGTATTTATGCTTGAAAGAAGGAAACATTTTTGAAACACCCCTTCCATTTAACATTTTTTTTGTTTTTGTTTTTTTTGTTTGTTTGTTTTTTGCTTTTTTTTGTTTGTTTCTTTTTTTGCCATTTAACATTTTAAATATTACTCTGTGTTGTTGAATTTGTAAGTCTATAATAAACTTTTTGAAAAAACGAAAAACTTGTTCTTTCTATTTAAATCAGTTTTTCTATTTTTAAAGAAACAGGAGTGGGGCTATATGGAGAATTCAAAGAAGAGCTACGGGCAGCTTGCTTAACCATCTCCATGTTAAAGTAATGTTGGATGGGAGGTGGGAAGATGGATTTAGACTGATTGGTGAGACTTTGATTGTCCATGTTGTTTCAAGTGGGTGTGTCTGTAATTCCTAGGAGAGACATTTTCTGAGGTAGTTTATTGATGTTTAGAGATGGATTTTGAAAAAATCCTTATACTTTGTCTTAATCACTTACTCCTTCACCATCCAATACACCTCTCCCATTATTTCATTTTAAATAGTATTCTCATCTGAGATAAATGCTGAAAATTTTAACAGTAGAGAAAAGTAAAAACTGAAACCCCCAAACCAATAGCAAAGGTTTATGAGTACGCCCTTCTAACCTGTTCTGTAGTCACTATACATTGATCTTGGCTTTAACAGTTAACTTTGCTGATTATGGATGAAGCTCTAGCTCCTTCTTTAAAAAGGGTTCTCAGAGAAATTGGTTTGGTTCCAAAGTGTTTCATGAGTTCTGTGTGCCTAAGAAAGCTTTTCATTCTGCATAGCATTTGTCATCATCCAACATACTAAATATTCCTTTTTTTTTTTTTGAGATGGAGTTTCGCTCTTGTTACCCAGGCTGCAGTGCAATGGCGCGATCTCGGCTCACCGCAACCTCCACCTCCTGGTTTCAAGCAATTTTCCTGCCTCAGCCTCCTGAGTAGTTGGGATTACAGGCGTGTGCCACCATGCCCAGCTATTTTGTTTTATTTTTTAGTAGAGACAAGGTTTCACCATGTTGACCAGGACGGTCTCGATCTCTTGACCTCGTGATCCACCCGCCTCGGTCTCCCAAAGTGCTGGGATTACAGGCTTGAGCCACCGCACCCAGCCCACACTAAATATTTCTTTACCCTGTTTGACTGTCTTACCTCATGGGAATGTAAGATTTGTGAGGACAGACCTGTGTTGCCACTCCTAGAACAGTTCTTGGTATGTTGTAACTAAGCTTGCCAATATTTGTTGAATGAATGAGAGTACTGAAGCAAGATGTCAATTTTTTAATCCTTAGAATTTAACTTTTAAATAATGTAATAATATACTTCTTAGTTGAATTGATTCTAGCTCAATGTTTTATTAGATCTCTTTATGCCCGAGAAGAAAGGGGGAAACTCAGCTAAGAAATTAGAGCACTTACATCCTTTCTCTTTGAACTTCTGGATTTTTGCTCCAAAATTATCAAATTCTTGGAATTGTTGCCTATAGAACCTGCAAAATTAATAGTCAAGTTGGAGCTTTAACCTGTTGACATTTAATATTTTCCCAAAGATAGTAGAAAGGGCATAGTTTCCCTGATACATACTTTCCTTGATACACTTTCTATTTTCAAGAGAAAATAAAGAAGTGTATTTTTAATTTCAGAGCTTATAGAAACTGGGTGTTAAGAATTTTGTAATGGGATTTTGGTGCCCTGGTTTAGACCCCATAATATCCTTCCCTAACTGTTGTACATAAGGGACAAACCTTTCATTGCACTCAGGTGGGAGTGGGAACAAGGACCTTTGAGAGAGAGAACGTTTGACAGATCAAATATATGAACCATATTTGTACTTCAGATAAGCGATTAATTTTGCTGCAGAGTATGTGAGTGATGTAGAGGAGAAGTTCAGGAAGGAGAAAAGGGTCTGGAGGGCTTTTTAGATTTTGCCCACTTTATAGTTTTGCCAACATTAGTTCAGAAGTGTAATTAACAGTAAATATTCCCTAATTGCCTTTTGTTTACGTAAATTCTGTGGAATGTGGTTTTCATTAAATTAGAATTGTTTAGACCAAGTTAGTGAATTCAGCGAAGGTGAAGATGAATGCAGGCACAAACTAGTAATGTGAAAATAGTAAGACTGCAAGATGATGTTCATAAGAAGTTTCTTTCCTTTTATTGTCTGTTTAATAAACTGCTGGAAGCTTACCAACGCCCATTTGCCCCTTTCATTGCAGAATACCTGTGTCCAGCTGGATACCACATTTCTTAGCTTTCTTTTCAGGTAGGTATGGTCATGTGACTAAGCTTGGCCAGTAGGATATTAGCAGAAGCGATAGGCACTACTTCTGCATTATATCTGGAAGAGGAATGTACCCCTTGCTCTTTTCCCCTTCTTAGTGGCTGGAATGCAGATAGGATGGCAGGATCTGGAGTAGACACCTTGAAGTGGACATGGAAGCTGAGGGATAAGGAGGACAGTTGTACTACCCCTGAAAGAGTACTGTGAGAAAGAAACTTGAGCCGTGGATGGCCTTGTTATAGCAGCTTGGACCTAATTAATACTTACTTGCTCATTTAGTGATTACTACAGGTCAAGCTTTATGCTAGACAGTAGAGCTGGAATCGGTTCTTGTCCTCATAAAAAGTAAAGCTGTAACAGAGTATTTCGTTTCTACTTCATTAGGTTAATCAGTTTTGGAAGGTGGAGAAGGAGGACCCACAAATGAGGGAAATTTTAAACTATAGACTCTACACCTTTGTTTCTGAATATTTAAATTTTTCTGACCCTGAGTCATATGAGCTTGTTCATTCATTTGACTATTTTTTGAGGGCTTGTTAGATGTCAGGCTGAGGAGTACAGTGGTTAAAGCAAAAATTCTTTCCCTTGAGAATCTTCATTCTGGTTAATGAAAACACCAAGCACTAGTAAGTTCCAAAGAGAAAAAAGGTCAAGAAAGGAAGATATCAGGGTTGGGGAACAAAGTGGAATTACAATTTTAGATATAGTAGCCAGGGAAGGTTTCATTGAGTAAATAATCTTTGAATAAAGTCCAGGAAGACGGGAGGAAGTTGGTATGTGAAGCAATGGTTTAACCAATTCTTAAGGCAATTCAGAAGGCATATGAATGTTACTGCAATGATGTGTGCCTTTCTGCAGGAAATGGAATAATTGAAGCAGAAATAGCTAAAGTTAAGAACCTTTAAATTTCTTGTTTTTTTAGTCTGCAGGAGATACAATAATAACCGAAGTGTTACAAAGGTGGAGACAGGAAATGTTAGTTGTTAACAACTTTGTGGATTACCACCCCCAGGAAACTAGCCACTTGGAGGACCAATCAATAAAGGAGTGTTCAACTCAATATTTTACCTGATACAAAGTTAAAGTGGAAAAGCAAAAGAGATGGGCTGGGATGTAAATATACCTTTAAATTTACTTTAACCTCTAGCTCTGTTTTCCCACTATATTTCATTCAGTAAATATTTGTTGCCTATTTTCTTTTTAAAACTAGGCTAGGCATTGGGAAAACAGTGAACAGGACAGATGCTGTTCCTGTTGTCTGTTCATACAACTTTCATGTTACTAGTAGGAAGAAGCATTAGGCTACTAATTATTGCAGTTATTTAGTGGCTGTGACTGGGGAGGCAGTCTAGGGCTATGAGACAATATAATCTCATCTGAGGATTTAGGAAAGTCCTTTTTGAGGAAGAAACATGTAAGTGGAGACCTGAAGAATGAGAAGGCATCAGCCAGAGGAAGGAGAGACAAACAGCTGAGGCAGAAGGGCCTTAGGGATTGAAAGGCCACTGGAATATAACAGGAGTGTGAGAAGATGAGGCTCGTGGGGCCAGATGATTCTGGGCCTTATTAGGCATTTGTGTTTAATCCTGAGAGCGAAGAGAAGCCATTGGTGTATAAGCTGGGTCTTGAGGCAGATGTGTTTATTGAGTGAAGAGAGACAAAAGTGGATGTAGGGCTTTGAGTTAGGGTTGTGATGGTGGACGTGGAGGGGAGTAGATGGAGTAGAGTGGTGCCTAGGGGGTGAGGGATTACATATTGGAGGATGAAGAAGAGTTTAGGGTCAAGAATGACCACCATGCCTTTTTTCCTTCAGGCAGCCGTATGCTGGTGCAGTCTGTTCTGATGGAGAAGACTGAAGGAGGATCTAATTTAGACCGAAAGATGATGAGTTTTAGGCTTGTTGACTTTGAAGTTTCCTATGAGATACCCAAATGGAGGTGTTGAGTGGGCTCAAGGATGGTGTGGAGAGAGTCATCCGAGAAGCAACTACAGCCATGAGAGTGGATGAGATAGTTTAGGGGGAAAGTGCAAAGTGAGGAGAGACCCAGAATAGCTGTCCTCCAACTCTGGGCATACCCATTGGGAAGTACAGACCTCTTTACTGTTTGCTGATAGCACATGCCTGACAAAGGTGGGAAGTACAGACCTCTACTGTTCCCTGATAGCACATGCCTGACAAAGGTGGGAAGTACAGACCTCTACTGTTCCCTGATAGCACATGCCTGACAAAGGTGGGAAGTACAGACCTCTTTACTGTTCCCTGATAGCACATGCCTGACAAAGGTGGGAAGTACAGACCTCTTTACTGTTGGCTGATAGCACATGCCTGACAAAAGTGGGAAGTACAGACCTCTTTACTGTTCCCTGATAGCACATGCCTGACAAAGGTGGGAAGTACAGACCTCTTTACTGTTTGCTGATAGCACATGCCTGACAAAGGTGGGAAGTACAGACCTCTTTACTGTTCGCTGATAGCACATGCCTGACAAAGGTGGGAAGTACAGACCTCTTTACTGTTTGCTGATAGCACATGCCTGACAAAGGTGGGAAGTACAGACCTCTTTACTGTTGGCTGATAGCACATGCCTGACAAAGGTGGGAAGTACAGGCCTCTTTACTGTTTCCTGATAGCACGTGCCTGACAAAGGTGGGAAGTACAGGCCTCTTTACTGTTTGCTGATAGCACATGCCTGACAAAGGTGGGAAGTACAGACCTCTTTACTGTTTGCTGATAGCACATGCCTGACAAAGGTGGGAAGTACAGACCTCTTTACTGTTGGCTGATAGCACATGCCTGACAAAGGTGGGAAGTACAGACCTCTTTACTGTTTCCTGATAGCACGTGCCTGACAAAGGTGGGAAGTACAGACCTCTTTACTGATAGCATATGCCTGACAAAGGTGGGAAGTACAGACCTCTTTACTGTTGGCTGATAGCACATGCCTGACAAAAGTGGGAAGTACAGACCTCTTTACTGTTCCCTGATAGCACATGCCTGACAAAGGTGGGAAGTACAGACCTCTTGACTGTTCCCTGATAGCACGTGCCTGACAAAGGTGGGAAGTACAGACCTCTTTACTGTTCCCTGATAGCACGTGCCTGACAAAGGGCAGGTCGTCGACAGAAAGCCGTTGTTCGTGCCACTGCAAGCACTTCTGAAATGGCCACCATGGTTAATAAGGATAGTTCACATTCAGGGCATTTACTATGTATCAAACATGAGCTAATCACTTTACCAATAATGCTTCCCTCCATGTTGCATATCCTGTGAAGCAGGTACTGTTATCTCTGTTTTACAGATGAAAAAACAGACTATCAGAAATTCAGAAATATGAAGGCATAGAGTGGGTGATCAAGCTCAGGTCATTGGCACCAGGACTCAGGCTCTTGGGCACCACTGGGCTACCTCTCCTTGGCTCCTATCATCTGCTACTACCTCCCCGCTGTGATCTCTAGCCTCTCCCCCAACCCCCAACATAAATAATGTCTTTTCCTCCACCCTCTTGGCTGCTCACGATGACTGGTTATAGCAGAGGAACCCAAACACCTATTCCTATCTTTAGCCTGCCACGCCCTGCTCTCCAAAGGTAGTTTCAAGGCATCTTGGAACTGATGGGAGAGCAAAGGGCAGGAGGATGTGTATGCACAGATGTGTGCTCCCAGATAGTCATCTGTCATAGCTTAGGCTGATTCAACAAAATACCATAGACTGGGTGGCTTAAACAGAAATTTATTTTCTCACAGTTCTGTAAGCTACGAGTCCTCCAAGATTGAAGTTCCGGCTGAGTCAGTTTCTAGTGAGGGCCCTCTTCCTAGTTTGCAGATAACCATCTTTTCACTGTGTCCTCACATGGCCTTTTCTCACTTCCTGCACCTGGCCAGAGTTGAGAGCTGTATGCGGTCCCACAAGGACACTAATCTTACCAGAACAGGGATCCACCCTTATGGTTTCATGTAACTTTACTTTCTTACTCTAAATACAGCCCCTCTGGGGATTAGGGCTTCAACATGTGAATTTAGGGAAGACATATACATTCAATTTTAACACCATCTAAATGTCCAATCATCACATTGTAGTCCACTTATTCTAAACATCCATAGAGGGCAGATGTGAATTCAGCCACATCCCTGCTTCTGGGGAGAGAATCTAGGGCTAAGTTCAACATGAGAAAGAACCCATTACCCCTCAGCCAGTGCAATACTATCCTAGAAAAGGGAACCAAGTTACTCAGGTTCACAGTGCTGGTCAGTTCACTTACTGACCCTGTGTGCTTTCTAGATTCCAGGTCTGTGCAGGCTCAATTTCCCAGAAATTTATTCCCAAAGTGTCTGTTCATTCGAAGCGGCCAAGCCTTTGGCTTAGGTGGCTGAGAACACTGCAACACTGTAGAGACATCAGAGAGATGCTTTCCGAGTTGTGTTTATCTTAGTACTTTTTGGCTTTAACCCCTTGATGCCTTGTGCCAATATCTTTTTAAGGGATCCCAAAAGCCTCCTGGAGGGCCCAGAAACTACAGGTGAATCCTAAGCCAGTCATCTTCTCATGTTCTCCCATGAAGGAACCAGTCCTTCATTTTTTTGTGGTCACAGAAGACAGTGGGCCCTATTGAGAGCACATCCTGTTGGTGCAAGCAGTGCTGCTTCAAGCCTATAGCTCAGTTATAGAAATAGCTGTCATTTGCCACTCACTTTGTATGAGCATTATGCTAGCATGTTATTATTGGTTATAATAACTTTGGTTATACTGTTTATTATTCAACCTTATAGAGCTAGGTGATACAATACCCATTTTGCAGATGAGGAAATAGGCTCAGATAGGTCATTTGCATGAGGCCATACAGCTAGTGAGAGGTGGAGCTGTGATTTAAATCCAGGCTCTGTGATTGAACTCCAGAGCTTGTAGGTTTGACCACTCTGCATACCACCTTCAGATCTGGCGATCAGGACATGTGGTAGAGGAATAGAATACTCTGCCTCTACATTAGTCTCCTACTTCTTCACAAGCCCTCACAAGCACTTCAAATGAATAGACTCTTTTGGAGTAAATTTCTAGGTAACTGAGCCTGCGTAGACCTGGAATCTAGAAGGCACACAGGGTCAGGAAGTGAACTGACCAGCACTGTGAACCTGCCAGCAGGGTGAACCTGAGTAACTTGGTTCTATTTAGACCAAAGCTGAAAGGTCCCCCAATTCAGCAGGATGTGATTTTGTATGCCAGCCAGGGGCCCTCATATTTCTCATATTTATTTCCATCTAGTCCTCTCTGCCACCAAGGTTCATGCAGATTAGCTTCGGTTACCTTTATTGTAGGCTGGAGAGGTGTGGCTACCTTTCCTAAGACTAAGCTAAAATGCCATGTGAGATGATCATAGAATCGGCACCGTTAGGACCTGGCGGGTATTAGTTCTGGAAGACATGGAGAATCAAGCCCAGGGAGGCTTTCCTGGTTTCTATGCCTCCTCTCCAGTGCTTCCTGGGATAGGAGCCAGGAGGGAATCTTGGGCACTGACTGAGGAGAAGTGGTAGGCTGTGCTGGGCTGGGCTGTGCTGGGCTGGGCCTTAGGAGCCCTGGCCAATCTCTTCCCCAACCTCAGTCTGGCCTCAGGAGCCAGTTTCAGTGTCACAACCCTTAGAATTGTTGCAGAATTTCATGCCTGTATGCATTTGGCTAGGGGAAAGAGTCCTTGATTTTCTTCAGATTGCCAAAGCCTGAGTGACCCTGGCATGGGTTAGAAGGACTGAATTAGACCGTCTGTCAGATACTTTTTCAGTCAAACCTGCTCTAAGCTCTAGTGCCCCATTGAGCCAGGTGACTCCTGAAATTATTTTAAAGCCCTATAAAAAGACTCCTTAGAATTGGATTAACTTTGGTTAGGGCTTTCACAAGCCTTTTTAGTTCCTCTCAAGTTTTTGAAGTACTCTTTCCTTTGCTGGGTTTATGCATCCATTTCCCTCCTGCCAGGTTCTCCTGGGCAGGTCCCCATCTCCTTTGGAAGGAAGTGCTGGGCAACTGCTCTACCACCTGACCTTCAGGGTATTCCTTCACCAGATGGTTCTGGTCCAGACATGGCTCTTTAGGGGTTTCAGGCCAAGGGAAGCTCAGAGAAAAAGGGAAGATGCCAGGTGGAAGGAAATGCCCTGCAAAAAGGGTCCTCAGGCGCCCTGTGAATGGGAATTTATTCATCAGCTCTGGCAGCAATTTTCCCTGAGGACCACCCTTAAAAAACTTCCCCGAGGAAGTAACTGACCTGGGGAAAAGCTGAAGAGGAGGAAGTATTATCAAAATGTCCTGGGCAGGACATTCACCCTCCTCGCTTGGGTCTCCTGCTCGGGATTGATCTCCCCTTAACCTTTTTTCCAAAGCGGCGCAAGCAAACAATTAACAGCTCGTTCTCAGCACTTGGTCTAACTGGGTGAGTTTTTATTATAGAAATGCGGCCCATGAAGATGTGAGACGTGCATCCCCGACTGCGGTGGGACCCTGCACCTCTCCACCGACCTCCCACTGCCCGTGCGCAAATAAGGAACTGGGTCCTTAGACCTGGGCAGGATCCACTGAAGCCCCTTGTCCTGTCATTTCCCCCGGGGTATGCGGCCCCAGATTGCCAACCTTCCAAAGTTCAGGTGAGTTCCCACTGGGATCCTAGTGGGGTCCTTCTCAGTGTCAAGGAGCAAGAGAGGCGGTAGCAGGTGTGGGGAGACAGCCATAGGGCTGGCGAGTCCTGACAGGTAGCTCCAGGCTAGTTGCACGCTCATGGTTCCTGTCTCTTCCGTGTGCCAAGTAAAGAAGTCAGCAGGCGGTGAGCAAGCCTCCTGCGCCGGGGCTGGCGCGCAGTCTTCCAAGGTTTTCCGACTGGACCCTCTGTGGGGAAGGGGATTAGGCCAAAGGATCAGAACGACGGTACCTATAGGTACTGGAATTGAGACCCAACACAGCCTCCCGACCCCTCGGTCTCTCTTTCCCCGGGGTTCACTCTAGTTCAGGAATGATCTTTGGGTCAGGGCGCGGTGTTCCCATGGGCCAGCGACCCCTGGAGTCATGCCCTCCCTACCCAGCTCAAGCCGCCTGTCTTGGCGTGGTCAGGACGGGCCTCCCGGCGGCGGCGGCGGCGGCAGCGGCGGCTCAGTCCCACACTACACCGGCCGCGTCTTCCAGGGCGCGCGGGCGTCGCGCAGCGAGCGGTCGTGGGGCAGCGCGGCGAAGGCCGAATGGCGCAGCTGGCAACCGATGAAGAGGACGACGAGTGCCACCGAGAGCAGCAGCAGGAAGAAGAGCAGCAGGTAGGTGGGCAGGTCGGGCTTTGTGGCGGCGCCGTCCCGCATACCGCGCGCAGTGGCCAGCTCCAGCGGCAAAGCGCCTTCTGCCTTGACCGTGGCTCCCGGCGCCAGCGCGCTGCCTACCGCCGCCTCCGGGCCGCCCGTGGCGTTGAATAGGTCTCCGTACATGGCCCGCGGGTCCCACCGACCCCTTTCGGATCGCCTCACTTCGTCTCCAGCAGACCGGCGCGACCCGGCGCATCCATGGCACGCCCCTCCCGCCCGGCCGCGCAGAACTGACCGAGAGTCGGTGCCTTGGGGCAGTAGGGGCTGCAGAGACCCCGGGATGTGTCCACTCACTCGCCTCCGCGCTCAGCTGCCTTCCCAGCCGGCCAGCGGACCCCAGCGCTAGGAGCTGGACAGTTCTGTGCCGGTGCCTCTTCTCGCCGCCTCCAGCAGGACAGAGGTCTCAGTCCCAATCACTGAGTCGTCTTGCGGCTTTACAGCAAGTAGCCCTCTCAGCTCGGACCCCCAGCTCCAGTAAGCTCCAGGTGCCGAGCGCCTCGGGGCTGTGGTGGGGGTGAGAGGTACTCGGCGAGTGCAGCCGCAGCCCGGGGTCTCTGCTCAGTGCCCGGTGACAGAGCACACGGAGGGAAGGTGGCCCGCGAGTCCTCCGCGTCCTCCGGCGCCGCCGCCACCGCAGCGTCTCGGAGCAGTCCTGCAGCTTCGGGTCCCTGTCGAGATGCTCGGTGTGCAGCGAGCTTATCCCCACTCGCTCTGGCTGCTGCGCTCCTGTCTCGAGCAGGAGACTGAGCTTTCAGGAGGCTCTGAGCGCTCGAGCCCCGGGCGGGGGTGCGGGGGAGGGGCAGGACTGGCGGCGGCTGCCCCGGGAATGGCTGCGAACCGATGCGTGCAAGAGAGGACGCGGCTGCGACTGCCCTCTGCCCGGCTTCACATCACTCACGGACAGAGGGACAGAGACAGGGAGAGAGAGAGATAGCGAGGAAAGAAGAAAGCACAGGGTCACAGGAAGACTGACGGGCAAAGACACAGTTACAGACCTATGAACAGAGCCGCACGCCAAACAGGGACAAACCGTTGAGGTAAGCAAACCAAGTCAGTGACAAGGCTCAGCCGAGCTTGCACACCTGCCCTGCGTTCTTTCTCCTCCTTGGCAGGCTCCCTCCAGGCATGGCCTGGTTTGCCTCAAGTGCCCACTGGCTGCTGGGTAGCTCAGGCCAGGCACAGGACCTCCAAGGGTATACAGCTACGCCCCCAGACAAGCGTATTCAAGCCGGAACTGGTTCCACGGGCCTCGTGCCCTCTCCGGCTGCGTCGTGCCGGTCTGTGTGCTTCCTGCACCGTGTGCAGGAATGTTCAGCTCCCCTTTGCCTGTTCTGCCTGGGCACAGAGGGGCAAGAGGAGGCCATGGCACTGGCAGTGGCCTCCCCCTCTCCGCCCTTGGCAGCCCTGGAAAGGCGAGATGGCCAGGACAGAGGCGGGCAGTCAGTTGGATTGAGTAGGGAGGTGTCTCCTTTCTCAGGAGTCCAAACCTCTCACTTCCTCTGAGAAGTCTTCCAGGCCCCCCACACTAGAGTGGGAATCACTGCCCTGGACCACCACAGCCCTTGCACTTCTCAACAAGCACCTACCCCTTACCAATGGTCTGTCATTTTCTTTCAGGGCCAGAATTAGGGGGAGGTGTGTGAAGAGCCTAGGGCACAATACTGAATGAGACACTTGCTCCCAGAGTCCACAAGTGCACGGTTGGGACTGCCCCAGATGCCTCCCCGCTCACCCTAGACCCAGCCCTGTTGTCTAGTCACTTGTCAGAGACCCTCAAAGGGTCAGCGAAGTTGACATCTTTGTCTTTCTCCGCTTTTCCTCTTCCCCCATTAAGGGGTGTGGTACATAGGGAGAGCTTGGTGACACTGGCTGAGTGAGCCAGTAGAAAGATGAGTAAATGAGTTCGTTATTCTCTCTTCCCACTGTACCTCATGCCTGGTCACCAGCATAACAAGAACAACCAGAGCTCATCCTCACAAGTCCCTGCTCAGCCCGGCAGAATCACCTCCGTGAGCTCTTTGTCTAAGTTGAAACTGTGGTTCCAAGTCCTGACTCTTCGGTGTTTTTCACTTAGTCCCACAGATGGGCCTGTGGGGGTTTCAGCAGGGCCTGGCAGGATTGAGCACTGCCCATCTACCCAATCACCATCTCAGATGGGATCCCCCTTGGTCCTGGGGGGCTGCCTAGTCTGCTTCCAGGGCACAGGATTTTGGGCCCCTCCACTTGGCTACTGCCAATGCCTCATTTTCCAGATAGCAAAGTTGGCTCTGAGAGGGGCCAGGGCTTATCCGTGTTAGCCCAGGACAGCCACCATGTATCAGTGATGTAGCAGCAGCAGTGGCAGTGGGCTGCTCAGGAGATGAGGGAGTCCCTTTCTCTGAAGACTTAACCTATTTCAGACAGCATTTTTTCTCAGCCAGCAGGATAGAGAACATCATGTAAAACCAGAACAGGCCTCCTTACCAGCACTTTCAGGCATGGGGAGACTCAGGTCGATGGAGGGGGTTATGTTCCTGCTGTCAGTAACTTCCTGGGTCCTGGGAAGGCAAGAATGCAGGACTTGGGTAGCTCAGTTTGGGGTTTGGCCTGGAATTTCCTCCTGGGGTCTATATGGGAGTGGCATGGCCTGCCTTCCCCACTTTCTCTCAGCTCCATGATGACCCCAGGTAAGAACCCAGGAGGGGGGCTTCCTAATGCCAGGCAGCTCAGTTGGGAGGCTCTAAGTGTAATCTGGGGCAAGCCTCAGCCCTTTGAGCTGTAAAATGTGGGGTGATGGTAAATAAGTGTTGTTCTGGTCCTCCTCTGGAAACATGCTGTGATTATCCAGGAAATGGTGTGGAGCAAGGGTGTCTGCAAAGGGTTTGGTGTGGATGGAAGGTCCCTGCATCTCCACTGCTCATGGTGGCAAGACAGGGATGGTGGTGGGACAGGGATGGTGGTGGTGGAGGGCAGGGAAATCTTTGAACCTGGTGTCCCCAACACAGCTCATTCCTTCCCCACAGCTGCTGCTGTTCCCATGCTGCATTTTATAGAAATGACACATGCAAGGTCTCCCGCCTGTGAATGAAGAAGCTGGGGCTTGGATGTGGGGAGAGGGGCTCCAGAGTCCATGCCGTTAGCCATTGTAATGAACCACCCACCATGGCAGAATGATTCTAGTAGCTACCATTCCCGACCGTCTTACCACAAGCTGAGCTCTTGGGGGTGGGAGCTTAGCATTCATCTTTCTCCCCACAGCAGCCTGTGATAGGCACTGCTATCACCCTCATTTTCTCAAGGAGAAAACCAGAACCCGGTGTCACTTGCCAAGATCACACAGCTGGTCATGGTGCAGGGGACCCTGCAACTGTGGTCTGTGCTTGTCCACTCAGTCTGAAGCCACCTTTTCTAAAGAGAAACTCAACAAAGAGCGTGTGGTCAAACTGCCTTCCCTTTTAGTACAGTTGGAGGAGATATTTTGCCTTTTTGGGGGGCCCTGAAGTGGGGGGGTACTGTTTCTTTTTGGAAAGATGTTCCGGGCCCTGAGAGGGCAGTCACGTTCCCTGCACATCCCTGGGCAGGAAATTAAACAAGGCTGGTACTGAGTAAATGCAGAGATGAAGTTTACACAGCTCTTTATACAAGCCAGAGCGACCTTCCATTAAGGGAGCTTTGTGTACCCATACATTTAAGTCTTTGGAAAAGATTATAAAAAGGCGCTTAGAGGTTGGCTTTGACAGGCAGAGGTCACAGGGCTGGGACCTCAGGGCAACCTCTTTCCCATTATGTAGTTGTTGAGTGACACACGTTCCTTCCCTGCCGACCTGTCTGTGGAGAAACCGAGGGAGGCAAGGCAAGGGTGCCTTTCCTGCCAGCAAGAGCCATTTGGCAGCTGTTTAATGGAAACTTGGGAGACTGGAAGCATTAGAGCCCCAGGATTTCATAAACTGTGCCATGCAGGCCTGCGGTGCCTGGTGGAGCTATTTCTGTTTCTTCCGCACGCCAAGGGAATCATTATTAAACTACTCAGCGTCACGCAGAAGCTGGGTGAAGATCAGAGGTGAAAAGTTGCTGTCTGAAGGTTGGAGTTTGTTGGGTTTTCCCCGTGCAGGTGTTAGTCTGCTGGAAAGTGGAGTGGCCACTCCTCTGAGAATACTGGTGATGCCCTTGCTTGCAGAGCTGTTGTGTTTGTTTTCCAAATCATCATCCCTGGAAATGGCTTTGTTTGTTTGTTTTAGATGGCTTTTGGTAACCATAGTTTTTGGTTTCTTTAAGGTTACATTTTAGAATGACTTTTTTTTTTTTTTTTTTGGAGATAGAGTCCTGCTCTGTTGTCCAGGCTAGAGTGCAGCGGCACCGTCTTGGCTCACTGCAACCTCCACCTCCCGGGTTCAAGTGATTCTCCTGCCTTAGTCTCCTGAGTAGCTGGAATTACAGGCACCCCCTCACCACACCTGGCTGTTTTATATATATATATATATATTTTTTTTTTTTTTTAAGTGAAGATGGGGTTTTACCATGTTGGTCAGGCTGGGCTCTAACTCCTGACTTTAGATAATCCGCCTGTCTCGGCCTCTGTAAGTGTTAGGATTACAGGTGTGAGCCACTGTGCTCAGCCTAGAATGACCATTTTAAGAACTAAGTGGTGCCAGGCCCAGTGGCTCATGTCTGTAATCCTAGCACTGTGGGAGGCCAAACTGGGCAGTTTGAGACCAGCCTGACCAAGATGATGAAACCCTGTCTCTACTAAAAATACAAAAATTAGCCAGGCATGGTGGTGCGTGCCTGTAATCCCAGCTACTGAGGAGGCTGAGGCAGGAGAATTGCCTGAACCTGGAGGTTGCAGTGAGCTGAGATTGTGCCTCTGCACTCCAGCCTGGGCAACAGAGTGAGGCTCCGTCTCAAAAAGCAAAGAACTAAATGGCAAGTAGCACAAGCCCAGGCTCTGGAAGGAAGCAGCTTTCCTAATGAGAATAGTCCATAGGAGGCTTGGAGAATGGTCTTGCCAGGGCTTTCAAAGTGGCTGCAGTTTGGTTAGCGGAGTGGGGTAACTGGAGAGTGTATGGGGTATGAGGGAGAAAGGATTCTGCAAGGAGAGAGCTCCTGAACTGGCTTTGTCTCCTATCCCAGAAAGAGTGTCTCTGGTTCTGTCCTTTGGTCCTCCCGGCCTGCCAGTTTTTGGCCAGATCAGGTGATGGATGGAGAGAGTCAGTTTCAAGATCCACCAGGCTGGTGAACGGTGTGCCATTTATTTTTGAATCAGGTCTCACCACTCAGTACCGCAGCATCTTTCTCCAGGATCCCAGTGACATGTGACCTCATCTGCCTCTCTGCGTACCCTTAGCAGTATAACCTCAAGCCAGGTAGGTTACGGTGACCCAAGGCTTGCAGAATCCTGGGACTGATAGACTGATTGTCACCCCCTGGGCCCAATCACCTCACCTTCTCTGGCAAGGGCAGAGGTTTGCAGCGTGGTGAAACTGCATTCCTCCTGCTGCCTGAGCTCAACTAGGGGTGTTGGGTGGGGTCATGGGTGGGGTCGTTGCATATTAAGGAATGTGCCAACACACTGGCCAAGAACTGAAAAGGAGCCTAAAGCTGAGATAGAGCCAGTATATGGCCAAAGACTGGGAACAGGACTGTTGTTTGGGATCAGTTGCCAGGCTCGGGGCACCTGGTAGTCTGGTTGGCATCCTCAGGTCCCTGTCCCTGGACTTCCAGGATAGGGGACCTGGCTTTTGTGGTTACACTTATGGAGAGACTGGGGGCCAGAAGGAGTGCCTTAGACCCAGAAATGGAGACAGGTAGCAAGGCTGGGAGCAGGTGTGCGCAGTTACTTTAGAGGCCCTGACTCATCTGTGGCACTGATGTGGAACTGCTTCATGAAAAGGTCTGGAACTTGGTAGTGAGGCCAGAGCAAAACAGCTCCTTCAGGAAAAGTTTGTTTTTGTCTAGTGTTGCATTTTCTAAAATTTGGCGTGAATACTTCAAGTGGGATGCCGTGTTACTTTAAGTAGTGGATGGGTACAGCATTAAACATCTGAATCATAGAATGACAAGATTTCTGTCTTTTAATCTTGTTCAATTATTCTGATTACTGTAAGAAGAAAAATACAGTCTGGCTCAGTGTCATCTCAGGTCCTCCAAGAAGCACATGCAGGAGATGTATTAGGGGAAACAGCTGCTATGGATAAAAAGGGGGCAAGAACAAGGGGCAGCGGGGAGAGCCTTCAGGTCACAGTACAGTTCTGACCCCTGAGAAGGAGAGGGAAAGAAGGACTTGGTAAGAAGAGCCTCAAGCTCAAAGTGTCTCTGCCTGGCTGTAAGGAGTTCCTAAGCAAAGCCCACCTGTTAGGAGACCCCCTGCCAGGCAGGATGTATGAAGCTGGTGGCACTGTTGCCCTTGCTAGCCAAGCATGGAGTCATCTTTCCTCTGCTGAGGCTGGGGCTGGTGACCCTTTGCAAAAGGCTGTCAGGTCCTAGAGAAACAGGCAGGTATCAGGGTTGAAATCCCAGCAAGACTCAGCCCTCTAGGAAGCCTTCTCTCCCAGCCTTTGGCACCAACTAACCCTTCCTTTCTACCTTCTCTTTAGAGGATGGACCCAGGCAGTCCCCACCTGATGACTGTTGGTCTTGACTGTGTGCCTCACATTCAGAGTCTTCTCAGGGTAAGAGTGATGTCCTCATTCTAGGGTTGGGCCTCTGAGTCTGGGCTGAAGTTGGAGCCCAGGGTGTCAAGCAGACACCCGTGTGGCTAGAGCTTCATATCTGTGGTCAGCAGTGCCAGGCCCATGTGTGTCCTGGGCTGTCATCTCTGCTGGACCTTCTCCTTCTTGCCATCAGTATTTCCACAGGGCTGGTTACTGCCCAGGCCCAGAGCCCCACTGCCAGAGACTGAGATTATAGCCGCCTCTTGTCTTTCACTCACCCTGTGGTCCATTCTTAGGGGCAGTTCTAGGTTTTTTGGAATCTGCAGCTTGTACCTCTTAGGGGCCCTCTCTGAGAATAAGAGCAAATAATTAGGTTTTAAAGTGAATATTTATTTAGAATGAGATATGGAATCAAAATGAAATGAAAATATTAAAAATCTGACAAAGCTTCAAAATAGAAACAAAACTATCCAGATTGGCTTTTGGCCACAAAGGAAGGACTGGGAAGGGGCATCAGGATCCACCTTTTTAGGGTTCAGGGGCAGGCTGGCTGGGAGGCCAGGATGGTCCCGTTGACTTGTACCCCCACCCATGGCTGGGGGCAGGACCAGCTAGAAAGACTTGGTCTGAGTCAGCAAGAAGCTCTAGGACTCCGGACCTGCCTTTTCTCTGCATCCTCAGGAGTCAGCGGTCTGGGCCAGCTGTGAGAGGCTGGGGCTGGGAGAGCCGGCAGCAGGAGGTGCAGGCTTGAGCTCTCCTGAGCTGGGGGCTTCGGCGGGCAGCCAGGTGCCTGACTTCTCTCTCAGGATTATTCCTGGCCCTGCAAGGACAGGCACCCACTTCCTACTCACCCCATCCCTACCTAAACACCAGGTCAAGCCTACAAACCCAGTCCAGAGAAAGCTCTTCTTTCTTTTGAGGGGCCCTGTCTTCCTGGGCACAAATCCTGAGGTTGCTTCCCAAATTAATGGGAGCCTGGGATCAGAGAGACATCCTTTGGACAACGTTCACTCTTTATGCCCATCCCCGCCGCCCATGTGCACTGAAAGGGTAGGGAGAATTTCTACCCTCACTAGAAAGAGGAAGAAAATCCAGGTTTACAAAATTCAGGTGCATATTTCTCCAGGGTGTGAAGTTATGTTTTCTTTTCCTCCCAAAGTTCAAAAAGAAAATCCATCCACTTGGTTTCTATTTGATAAAACTGCTAGGGATCTTTGTTCTCTTGTCTGGATAAGTCCCTCCCTACAGCCACCCACCACCAGCTTCAAACCTCGCCCCTGGCTGTTGTCCAGGCAGCTCTCATTTCTTTCCCAGTCCTACCTCCCGCCCTGTCACTGGGCAGCACATGTCATGGGGTGTGGCAGAACTGTGACCGGTTGCTCAGCAGCCCCAGGCAGAAGAGGATATGGATGTGGTGTCAGGCAGAAAATGCCCCCTGACCAAGTAAGTGGTGCACATTGGTCATCAAATGTCTGGGGAAGGATCCCATTTGCTCTGTGAGTCTTTGATGGGGAGGAAGGGATGAATATGCCATGTCCTGATTCATGAGGAAATGTGATTATTTTAAAAAAGTTTTAAAAGAGAACTGAAGCTGTCCTTTAAAGTGGCATTTTAAAACCTAAATTGGAAACTACATTAGCATTGCCATTTTATGCTGAGGTAATAGAAATTCAACACGCTCCTCTCAGCTCCCAGGTCAGATGTGAAATTGTCTCCATCCTGGAAGGCTTCCTCTGTGGAGGCATATGGGGTTCTCCGCACTCCAGTTCTGCTGGGGAAGGCGCTTCTCCCGCTTCCTTCCAGTAGGAGGCTGCTTGTGAGCTGCCTGTGGATGGGAGAAGTGGGCTGGATGGCTGCTCCTAGAGAAAGCCTGGCCCCTTCTAGAGAAAGCCTTTAGGATGACACTCCCCCAGAAGTGGTTCTGGGATGCACTAGTGAGTGGCTGGTCTCAACATCTCAGCTAGAAACAAACTGAGAAAACAAGAAGATACTTGAGGTTGTACAGGGCTTTTTAAGATAAGAAAAGCCACCATCCATCCTGGCCCTCTCAGCCCTGAATTCACCCATCCAGGCAGAAAAAGCATCACCCACAGCTCCCCAACGGGAGCTGAAGGGCTGGGGATAGCAGTTCTCCAGGGACTGATCTCAATTTCTTTGCATGGGATTTCTCCCCCAGCCCCTTCAGAATTACCTGGCATAGTTTTAAAAAGGCAAGTTTTGGTCCCTAACCTCAGAGATTTCAACCTAGCATTTGGACCTGTGAATGGGCATATACATTTGTGCATGATATTGTGAAATATTAACCAAGGCATCCCCCTGTGTTTCCTGACACCTGTGGTCCTTCCTTACAGCCAGACAGAGGCCAGACTGCTCAATATTAATTGCTTCAGGGAAGGGAGGATGTTGCAGGACTCAGCTAACAAAACAGTCAAATTATTGGCTTTTGAGTTTCAGAAGTCTAGACCTGGGTAAGGGTTTGGAGCAAGACATGATGAGTAAGGGCAGCACTGTGGCTCACACACATGGCACCTTTGGGCAAATTACAAAAAGGTGCCCTGTCCTTTGGCATGTTAAATATCCCTGTTGTGGAGTGCACACACTGCTCAACTTTCTATGGCACCTTCATAAGAGCAAAGTTTCCCATCTCTAAAGTTAGAAAAGAATCTCCCTGATCTTGGGGCAGGGTAGAGCAGAAGGTGAGGATAAGAGAGTTCATGGGGACACAAGGAGACCTTAGATGTGAGTAGGTCTCTGATAGGGGCTAGAAGAGTTTTCTGCCTTGGGAGAGATGACAGAAGACCAGATAGTTTGGGGATGCAGAGGAAGATGGTAAATATCTCTCTTAGGTAGAGCCCTAAGAAGGCAGAAGCCCTCAGATCATTCCTGCAAGCTCACCTCATACATGCCTGTGTTATAAATAAAACTTCGATGCTGCAAAAGAAATAGCAGTCGAAGATAAATCCTCCCAGCAAGGCAGTTTACTTCTATAGAAAGGTTCAGTGCACGGATGGAGCAATGATGGCCACCACATGCTTGGACAAGGGGGAAGAGGTACTTATACCTGACAGGGGTCATCCCTACTGCTGTGTCGTTCCCCTATTGGCTAGGGTTAGACCGCACAAGCTAGACTAATCCTGATTAGCTATTTTAAAAAGAGCAGGGGTCTGAGCTGGAGTTTCGGGGTAGGTGTTTTGGCAGGAAGGATGGTTATGGGTGGGGGATGGTGCGGAGACCTAGGTGACCAGGATGAGTCTGGATGGAGCCAGGGGGAGGGGGAACAGATGTGAACTACTGATTAGAACCGGTGGAGAAGGTTGTTTACTGGAATTACAAGGAAGTTGAACTTTAAAATAGAGAATTAAAGAATAAGAGAGCGGAACATACTGACATACTGATTCTTTGAAGAGAAACTTGGAGTTCACTATAACACCTGCAAGCTCACCTCAGTGTACATGAAATGCTGAAAGGCCACAGCAAGCTGCCTCCGGCTCCAAAATGATTTGGAGACAGAAGGGCTTCTGAGTCAGTGCTCTGAGAAGGGCATGACAGAGGCAAGCAGGCGTTCTGAGGCTGTCTTTTTGATGGGAATGAAGTTCTGTGCAGCAGCGACCCACAGTTCTGACCTTTAGGAAGCAGATAGACAACAGAGGTTTGGTGGATGCCTGCACAGGCAGAGAGGGCTGTGGGTGGGATGATCGCCTGCCTTAAGCCTGTGGAATTTATCACAGGGTCAGGAAAGTGGGTGTGGGACTCAGAACTGAGCTGAGATTTCTACCACCTCCAAGGAATGAGGGGAAGGGGGCTCCTAACAGACTGACTAGTAATCTTTCGTTTCTTACCCGCTTGAGTTTGTGGATTAAGATTTATATGTCAAGAGAACCACAAGCAAATACACCTCCTAGTAATTATCTCTGGGTGGCTGGATTGAGTGATTTTCATTTTCTTCTTTTCTCAATGCTGAGGTTTTTGGAAATTTCTCCAGTGACCATGGTTTACTTTTGTAATGAGAGTAATATTTTTAAAGAAGCAGTATAAAACAAAACAGCAAAAGTAATTTGCATTTTAATTTTTCTCCCCTGTCTCCTGGGCCCTCTCGCTTCCTTCAGTCCCCTCTTCAGAAGCCTGGGCACTGGGCTGGGGGTTGGAGGGGACGGAGCAGTGCGCCCAGTTGGGAGTCCTGGAGCCCTGAGCCTCAATTCACAATGACAGTGGCAGTAACATTGCAAAGGATAATTTTCTATCCTCCCTGCGCCCACTTGAGAGACAGGAGGAAGAGAACCCTCTCATCATTTTTGGCTTCCTGGAGATGGTCTCCTCCCTGCAAGTGGGAGGGTCCCGCCGGGCTCTGCTGAGCTAGAGGGAGAGTGGGCGGGGCTTGCTCACTGTCTAAGCTCCTGAAATAGCGCCCTTGCCCGGAATCGGGTTCTCTAGTTCCTTAGCCCCTTGGCTCAGAACCTTACTCTGAATCAGAAGGGAAAGGAGCACCCTTGAGGGCCCCAGTAGGACCATTTGGAAAGAAAGGAAAGGATGACAAACCAGCTGGGCCTCTTTAAAGGATCCCCACCTGGGAGGGGACAGGGATGAAAATAGAAGCAAGCAGGCAAGAGAGGGAGGTTTAGTGGGCTGGTGGGAGAAGCCTGCTGATTATTAAAGAGCGAATTACCTGGGTCTAATTATGCACGCATAAGCAGCACATTTCCTCCTGATACAGATCGGAAGTGGCTCAGTTTCAGTCACAAAGAGTGGGAAAGGCTGATAGAAATAAAAGACAAATCTCAAATGTGAGGGACGCCCCACCCCACCGCCACTGCCCTGTGTCTTTTTCTCCCTCTCTGCCCTTACCCCACGTTGGTTTAGTTGGGAAGAGGATTGGAGCCCCCACCCCCATCTCCTTTTTAATTGTCCCTAGCTCTGTTTATTATCTATATTAATAAATAATGATATATATTATCTATATTAATAAATATTGATATACATCATCTACATTAGTATTATCTATAGTAATAAATTAGTAGTCTGTCTTTACACACACACTCTCTCTCTCTCTCTCTCTCTCTCTCTCTCTCCCCCCACTTGCTTCCTGCCACCTTTGTCTGCAGAACCTGCTGGCATGACATGGGATGAAGCCCTGTCCGCCCCACCCTGGTGCTGTAATGCCAGTACACCCTGGAAGCCTCCTGTCCTGGGCAGGTTGTCCCCCTCAGCGCTCTGCTTTCTGACTTTGGGTGAGTTCTGAGATCCGGGGAAAGAATGAGAGCAGACCTTGCCCATGCCACAGTTCAATAATGACATTTCCTTGCCTCAGAGAAACAGGAAACAACATGGAGACAGGGCCGTCCTGGAGCTAGGGTTATTACCCCAAACCCTTGTTAGCATTGGCTGTCCCTTTACTGTGAGTTTTTAACCTAATAATGCTGTTGCGTCATGGAGATGCAGCACAGGAAAAGGTGGAAGGGAGCTCTTCACCCTTCTTTTTTCCTTGGTGCCTTCAATGCTTTATCCTTTATCTTTCTGTATGCCCAAATATTTATTTTCATTTTATTATTTATTTATTTATTTTTAGAGACATGCTCTTGCCCAAGCTGGAGGGCAGTGGCGAGGTCATAGCTTACTTCAGCCTCACACTCCTGGGCTCAAGTGATCCTCCTGTCTCAGCCTTCTAAAGTACTGGGACTAAAGGCATAAGCCACGGTTCCTTGCCCCAAATCTTACATATCCTTCCAAAACTGGGTCAGTCCCACCTTAAGGAAGATCAAAGAACTAGCTGGAGCAATGGTCCAGGCATAGGGGACAGTCCCTTCTCTGGTGTCCACCAGTCAGGTGACCTGAATACCATGCCATCTGGCAAGGGGCCTTCTGTGGCCAGTGTTCAGATATAATTGATCATCAGAGTTGTCTGGAGGCCTCTTAAAATAGAGGCTCCTAGGCCCAACCCTCAGCCGTTGCATCTACATTATCAATCTGTGTCAAGGGATTCTGAGGTAGGAGGTCCCAGGACTATACTGGGAAATACCCCACAAGGAATGTCCCTTCTTCCCGGGCTGCCTGCTAGGGACAGTGCCTCTATATCTGCTGCCAAGCCTAAGTGCATTCCACTCATTCAGTTCTGTTCATTGGCACTCATCTATGCTCAGTCCAGTTTATGGACCCAGGACCCCAGGAATTGAACTTCCAGTTCATGCTCTACTTAAGCTCTTTCTATGAAAAGGGGATCTTGAATCCTGCCCTAACCATATCACAGGACTGTTGTTTTAAATAAATGAAATAAGGAATGTGAAAGTGTTCAGATAGCTGTAAGATTAGAAATTGGAGGGGATGTTATTGTCCATCAGGCAACAATTCACCAACTGCCTTGTGACCTCTCCTTCATATTGCCTGCCACTCTTGTTAAAATCTCACAGATCTGCTTACCTATTCCCAGGCTTGTTTCTTTTCTCTTCAATGAAACTGCAAGCTCCTCAGAGTTGGAGTTCATTGGATCCTTCCAGCCCTTCGCACATTAGGATACATGAGCTGAGGTATGACTGAGTTGACTGGCTGTATTCAGCTTGTTCAACAAAGTGTGCATCCTTCTGGGATGGCCAGAACTACTGCGGGCGGGGGAGGGGGGCGGGTTCCATTGGTGTCCAGACACAGGGTTTCTTTTTAAGTGTATCAAAACCAACCTGGGGAGGTTGGAAACCCTGACTGTGGCTTCATAAGCAACTGCTGATTTGCATTCACAGGCTGCTGTTGTTTGAGGCACCAGGCCTTATAATTCAGAAGTAAATCATTATTTTGGGATGAATGGGTGGGATTGATTACTCTCCTACAGACAGGCTAAAAATGGTATGAAAAGTTCCTGGATCCTTCCTCAGCCCCTCTGTTTTAGGTATTACTGGGTCACATACCACCTCAAAACTTCATGGCCTAAAGCAACAACACTTTATTATTTCTCAGGATTTTGTGGCTGACAAAGTTCAGCTGGGAGGTTCTTCTGCTCTGCAGAGCTGAATCACTTATGCAGCTACACTTAGCTGGGAGCTTGTCTAGGCTGGAAATAAAAGAGGACTCTCAACCTCCAAGGTTTCTCTCTACACAGCCTCACAACATTCAGCATCCTAGCTGAGATTCTTGATAAGGGCTGGCTTGTGGTAAGACAAGCTGTCCTGGGCATGTGCTTGTCAAACCACCGCTTGTGCTATACTTGCTAATGCTCCATTGGCTAAAACAAGTCCCTTGACCAAGCCTAGCATCAGTGTGGGAGGGGAACACACAAGGGCCTGAGAACTGGGAAGCATGTTTTACTGGGGCAATGGATGGTATAGCTCACCACAACTGTCTTTTCCTGTCTTTCTTGGGAAGTCACCCAAACACTTCACAGAACAGAACAGCAGCCATGCCAGGCATTTGTGTCTATTTGGGAAATGGAACATCTGCCCAGTACCATGTGTCTCCCCTGGGACCCAGTGCTGCTGGCCCTGCCGTTCCCTTTGCTTCGTGGCCTGTGCTGTGGCTTGGGGGAGATTACACAGACCCAGACTCCTCTGCTCTTTGCCAGTGGTGGTCCATGCCCCTGGGCGACCTCAGCTCAGGAAGAGGAGACTCCGAGGCCTGGCAGGAGGGCAATGTCTTTGATTTTCCCTTGGCAGTAGAGTGGCTTTGTGCAGATGCTACCTCTTGCACATGCATTTCTGATGGTGGCCTCTGTGCAGCCTGTGGGAGTCCATCCCTGGTGATGAAGCCACTGACATGTTCTTCACATCTCTTTGTGTTGCCTCTAAGTCTTTGCCTCAAAGTAGAGGGGCCTCATACTTGGACCCGTGTGGGAACAAGTATGGGGCCCCTCTACACCCCTCCTCTTCTTTCCTTGTGTCTGTGTGCCTAGGCACTTGGGCCCAGGTCCCATTCTCACCTCCAGATCCCCCTCCTTGTCTCTGCCTATGTGTTGGGGCACCAAGGATGACCAGCAACATCCCATGGGTGAGCTTAGGGCACACCTTTAGTCTTTTTAGAGTTACCAGGTGTCTGAGCCCTTGGGTGGGTGCACACGGGCTGTGTGGGAAGTGACAGTTCCCTTGGTTTCCTCATATGTCTGTGTTATCATCTCGTACCCTTAGATCCCTGTTTCAGAAAGTATCCTTTACGTTTCACTTTGGGTTGAGTCTTCCATGTCATATGTAGGCAGGGGGAGTACAGGCTGGAAGGTCTTTAAGAATCAGGAAAATGCTGTTTTTACCCTTTGGAAGAAAGATTGAAAATCTGTCCAGAGTGACTAGAATACTGATCTATGCCATCCTCTTCCTGCAGCCTCAGTGCAATGGAAACAACTCACCTCTGAGCTGGTGCTTGGGGACATTAGGCTCGGAAGTCCCAGGACAAAACATCTGTGTTCTTCGAAGGAAAATATGAGAAGACATCCCCATGGCCTTTGCTGAAGCACAGAATATACATTCTGTTCACACTGGTGGTGACAGAATGATAGTACTGAGAGCATCTTTATGTAATGATGAGTCTAAAAGGCAGCCTCGGCTCTCAGATCGAATGTTCACCTTCACCAGGGCTCAACTGGCTCCGGGGGCATCTAATAGAGTTCTGCAGCTTAGGAAGGTACCACTGGCTCTATTTTGCTGGAGTGCCCATTCTGTGATTGATTGGAGCTGAGCATGATACCTTCGGGCTGTGTTCTGTTCTATCACCGAGATGATCCAAAGTCACTTCCTCTCTCTCAGTGACTGACCCTGCTCAGGTCTGGGGCAGTCTCTGCTCCCTGCCAGCATCACTGGTCTAAAAACCCTATGAGTCAGTTGTATGGCTACTGGCACTCGTGCTGCTCTCAATGATCTATGCTCATCGAAAGCAGCAGAAGTCCCCAAGACCAACATCAAGTTCTACTTATGTAACTTGAATAGCCACTTCGCCAGCCTCTACCTACAAAATAAAGCTCTATATTTCCTATTAATAGCAGCAACCTCAGCACCTAGAAGCTGGACCCACTCACTGTGTCTCCTGGTTATTTCTGGAGTCTCTGAGGGGTGACCTCACAAACAAGGGTGGTAATGGTGGTCACCACACTGACTGCCTTGTCACCCTCTCTGCTTTGCTCCCCCTTCACCTCTCTGCTACCTGCTGCCTCCATAGGTATTGAGAGATGTCTCATTGGGATCACTGTCCCTACAGGAATGCCCAACCTGCCAATTCTGGGTCTTCCCAAAGCTGGCAACTGGGCAGAGCAGAAGGACTCTTCTCTCCGCCCCTGAGGTGCATGCATGCCCTGGGCTGCACAGCAGGCCTGCTCTGCCCCACGGTCTTGCAACTTCTCTCCCAAACATTTAACCAGCTTCTGGCCCTTGCTCATTAAACAGAATCTCACTGCATCTCAAGAAAAATAGTCCTGTCACTTTCTGGCCCCCCTTCCTTCAACTACAGAAGCTCAGAACCAGCCCCAGCGTTGGGAAGGGTGAAGAAGTCATCGCATCATTTCTGTGTTCATCAGGACTCTGAAGACATAAATGACAGAAACCCAGAGCAAATTCGCATAAACAAAAATGGGACCCATTTGGTAGGGAAGCTAAGAAGGCTTCTGGAACAGGTCACCAGTCTGAGGAAGAGCTGCAGAAAGCAGAGCCTTGGGGTGGGCCCCACCCAGGTCAGCAGCCCCCGCCTTCTGCTTCCCTCTTGCCCGCCTTTTCTCTTCTGTCCCCCTCCCCCCATCTCCTCTTCTCTCTTGTCTCTATTTCTCATCTCTCTTTGGCTTCATTTGCAGACAGTCCGTCTCCATGTGGCAGAGGGGTGTCCACTGGTGTCCCAAATTCACATTCTCCTGTTCATCAACCCTGCTGAAGAAGGACTCTTCTTTCCCGGTGGCTACTTATATATAAAACCAAGAAAATACCAAGAGCAGCTCTGCTTGGGTCTGCTGTTGATTTTGGAGGTGGCTGCCCTGGAATTAGGTGCTAGACATGTCTGGGGTACAGTGAGATCTGTCACCAGCCAAAGAGGGGATCACAGCCAGTAGTACCAAGCCTCCATGCTCCGTAGCCCACCCCCTCCTCTCTCTGGCTTCCGTGCCGGCCATCTCTCTGCTTTATTCCTGGATAAGGCACTGAGGTGGTGGGGGTGGAAGTGGCAAAGTTAAATATGTTGTCTATCCTACCAGTGTCTGCACCTGCCTTCAGATACCTCAAAGTGACTTGTTACATTTTTCTTTGGCATATTTAATTGTCTTCTTTTGTCCTGTTTCCCCAGCATGCTGCCTGTCTGCTGAGTGGGGTGTGGGCTGCTGCCCTGAGGGGTGTGGGGTCAGTGCCGGGCAGCAGCCTCGGCATGTCACCCTCCATGGGACACTTGGGTCTCTTTGGTCAGTGCCACAGCTGTGCCACCTCTGTGTCAAGGCATAGTGGGCTCTGCTTTGCCCAGTTATTTCTGACTCAGATACTCTGAGGACATGAAACAGGACTTTTAAAATTTAGTGTAAGGAGAGGACATGTTGCCCCTGCTTCAGCCTGGGAGAGCCTCTTCCTTCCTCTTCTCCCTCCTAGTGCAGGGGAGGCTGACAGGAGGCAGCTGGGCTGGTCCCTGCTCCTTCTAGAGGAGGCGAGGCAGTGTGGAAGGCAGAGCCAGCCAGGCCCTGGTTGCTATCGGTGTGGGAGCACTCCCCTCCCTCTGGGGTCTGAGCCCCTCTGATCAGCACCTTGACCTCTGCTCTCCCACCTCACCTTGTTCCTCTCCTGCTCCAGTCTGGGTAGGGGAGAACCCATGCTCCTCAACTCTCCTTTCTCTCAAACTCTGATTCTTCCCTCATCTGACCTCTCCCTTTTCTAAAGCCTCAGGCCTGTGAAACCTGCACATCTTTATTTTTTCCTGCCCTCTGTCATTCCTTCCCTGAAGCAAAAGGCATAGGTTGTCCTAGCTGCTTGACGGCATTGGGAAAACAATGGAGAAATACTGGGTCGAAGTGAGTGTCTGGACCTGCCATTCCACAATGCCATCCAGCTCATGTGGGCCCCACTCCCAGGATGGGGATGAGGTAGCATTAGCCCAGTTCCCACTGGCTCCGCCTGGGAGACGGGGGCCGGAAGTGGCTTCAGTCCTGTGTTCTTCATCAAGTTGATTGACATCTGTGCGTCTCTCCTGGAGCTCCTTCCCTCTAGTACTCCCACCCTTCATGGGATACGGGAAACAGCTGGGATAAACAGCATGGAAGCCTGCCTGCCTCCGAAAATGAAGCTCCTCCCAGCCTGTGGGGCTCTCAGACTGCACTTCACAGACGCAGTCATGGGCACTTTGAGAATTGATGGGCTCAAGGCCGCTTATTTGTAACCAGATACTGCGTGATCCAAAGCAGGGGAGGGCGTCAGCCTCCCTGTGAAGGTGTCTGGTCAGAGCTTTCGAGGAGTCGGCCCTGTCTTGGGGAAGCTCCCCTTGCCTGGCTTGCGTGGGCCAATGCTTTGTCTTTGGGCCTTGCTGGGAGGAAAGGAGATAGGCTCTGATGGGCAGAGGCGGCTACTGTGCTTTCTCAAGTGTGTGAGCATGGTCCTTTAGGAACAGCTCAGGGGACTAATTGGGGGCTTCTGCATGGGAAATGTCACTGTGATTTGTCAAGTCCTATCAGTAGCCATTGGAAGGTGACAAGTCACTGGAGAACTCACTGCTTAACCACTGGTTAACCAGGAAGCCTGGACAGAGGCTGCCACTCACGCATCAGAGTGTGCCGCATTAGGGCAAGTAACTGGGCCTCCTTCCAGGCTGTAACTAGAAGGGAAATGGGGTGAGCTACAGCAGAGGATGGCTTATGTTTCTGCAAACTCACTGAGTTTCTCAGGGCCCGATGACGCTGTCTGAAGGAACTTCAGAAAACTGGGGACTAGAAGGGCCCTGCAGCAATTCACAAGTAATTCAGCAAGAGTGGCTACTCTCTGGCCCTGTGCCATTACTCAGTGGGGAACAGAACAGACCCAACCACCTCATGAAGCTTCCCTGGAGCAGTGGAGACAGACGCTGAATGCATACATTAGAGTTGTAGACAGAATGATGGCAGGTGTGCAGAGCTGCAGAGGACAGATGGGTGCCCCTGGCAGGAAGCACATCTTGGGGAGTGTTTGTGAACTTTCCAGGGAGGACCTGGGCCCTTTCTTCTCCCCATCGGCCCTTGAGCCCCTCTCAGGTTCCATTCCTCATCCTCCTGTTTAATTTCTTCAAGAGCTGCTTCCCCAGCCTGGCTAATTCAGCATGGGCTGAAGAGATGGAGCAAGTGAGGGAGATTGTCAGTGCTTGGAAGATGACTGAGCTCCTTTCCCTGCTCAGAGATCAGGCTGCTGATCTCTGCTGGCCCTCAGTTCCAGACCTCTCCAACAGCTCTCCAAAAAAAAGGGGCCCTTTTCTGCCCTTCCTCATGGCCATCTGGCAGCCATGAATTAATTCCTGAACTACCTTTACCTCCTAGACATGGCATTAAAACCCTAATGGATGGTACTAGTTTTCTTTCCCAGTTTTTAATTACTTAGTGAGACTGGTTTTCCTTTATAAGGAGTAGATCTGAGACAGGTTTGATAGGAAAAAGGTGGTCCATGGCGTGAAAATGGGATTGCCAACTGCCTTCGGCTGAAGGCTGATAGAGAAATTGCAGAATGCATCTCAGAAGTGTTTATTAGCATCCTGATGAAGATAAATGAGAGATCTGAAAGGCAGTCTTCCAGAAGTGTTAGCAATTTGTGCCCTGCATGAATCAATTGCTCTTCCTACAAAGCACTTCAGCCTCCCTTTTCCGAATCTGGGCTTAAAAAGAGAGCCCCACTGGATGCATATGGCTCTGTCCCCAGCACTTGGCAAGGGGCTCAGTACGTAGCTGCTGAATAAAGTCATTCCTCACTTGTGGGCCTGCAGGGGGCGTTTGGATGAGCGCTTGCAAAAAGCTACAGGTGTTCTCTCCAGAACAGTGCACCATCGCAAAGACAAGCACACAGCCTGAAGGGCACCTTAGGACTGGCAAGCTCTCTGAAATCTATCCTTGGTCCTCTCTGGGTCCTCCTCCTGGGCCACAGTTTATGTCTGTCAAGCGCCCTTGCATGTATGGTATGCCCAGTACCCATCAAACGCTTCTGTTTCTGTTTTTCTTGAATACTAGGTGGTGGTGCAGATTGGGTTGGGAAGGCCCAGGTGTGGAGCCATGTCTAATCTGCTGCTGCCTAACTGGGCTGCTAGGCGCCCAGCAAATGTTGACTTCTCCTGTTTTTCAGCAGTTGGGAAGATGTGGCAAAACAGGACCTATATTCCTTATGGCAGCAGCAAGCTGGATGGAGTGTCTGCAGCCTGCTTTAGGCAGGGCACGGTTGTGCAGTCTGTCACCATCCCTCACCATCCCCATCAATGCTGGCATTAATCCCACTTCTATTTATCACCTCATCTGATCAGCTGTTTTCTTATAGCAGAGTTAAGTTAAAAAAAGTTTGTTCCTGAAGACAAAGACGTATATCTTGAAACAGAAGCTCCCTCTTTCTATATATATGTACGTATATACATTTACACATACATGCATACACATATATATTTATTATATATTTTTCCTCTTGTAGGACGTCTGCACGTCATGTGAATTTGTAACCATCACCCTTCTGACAGGGTTGGTGTAAGGATCCGGTGGACTGATGGGTGCAAAGCCCCGAGCACAGTGCCTGGTACACAGCAAGTGCTCAATACTTCTGGCCAGCCCTTAGGAGTGTTTCCTTGGGACCAGAGGGCTCTTCTGGAAGCCAATGGCATCTTCGCGTACCTGCTCTGAAAAATTATTGTTTGGGACTCAGCGCCCTCTAGTGGCTGCTCTCACTACTCACACAGCCCCTTCCTTCGAGGGGTGGACACTTTGAGGCCTCATTCCTGCCTCCTCCCCTTCCTTTCACATGGAAGAAAGCTCTAGAATGGGAGAAAACTTTCCACTTCTGCATTTCCTTTACCTCGTTCCTGACCTTAGGTCTGGGCACAGGAGGAGGGGCTTGGAGGTGGTGGCTGGAGCTTCTGGGGATCCTGGGTGCATAACTCTCAGAGGGGTGGTGCCTTCCTTCCCCACCCTACACCCACCGCACCGGCCCATTCTCCTCCCAGAGCGTCCCTGGGCCAAGGGTTCCTAAGGTTTCCCCCAGACAGGGCCGGCGACAGCCCCGGCAGCGTATCCACAGAAGTTATTATGAGGTAATTTTATTTCTTTCCATTTTAGGTAAAAATAGTAAATACAAGATAATCTTAATAAAGGTAAAAATACATCATTTGGATTTTGTTGTTTTCTAAACAGTGCTACCTACAGTACAGTTTTTGATTTTTAAACTTTTTTTTATATAAACAAATAGAACTATTTTGCTATTAGGCTATCTGTGTTCTCATCTGGCACTTAAGAATAGATCACAGGTCACCTCCTGGTTCTGTTTGGATGTGTTGGGGGGTGGCAGGGAGGGAGTGAGAAGGGGTTGGTGGGATGAGGTGTTTGTCTTTCCAGGACACAGCCAGAGCTGCAGTCCCATTTGCAGTGGGAGGGCACAGGTGTGCACCCAAGATGGCCTTTTCCTGCTCTGGCCACAGGGACAGGTTTCACTGTGGCTGGACCAAAGGTCTCACATGCGTTGGGGGGGGCTCTTCCTCCCCTCCTCCCATGGTAGCTTTTCTTACCCAACCGCCTAGATTCACAGCAGTTCTGGGTCTAGGCAGGCCAGTGGGCTGGAGATGTCAGTCATACTGCAAGAGACTGAGCCAGGAGATCCCCTTTATGTCCTAGAGGAGTGAGCTAGGGACCCCTCCCCACCAGGGGTGGGGGCCAGGGTATCCAACCTGGCCTTGGAATGCTGGTAGAAGTCACAGATGCCGATATGGGCTGCTAAATGTCTTTGCCCTTGTTCACCCTCAGGTGGTCTTTGTTTAAGTTCTTTCCAAACTTCTCGCTGAGCTGTTGGATCAGGTCTGCCAGCTCACCAGTAGCTTGAGACTTTTCCTCAAGAAGCTCATAGCGCAGGCTAGAGATGTCTTGCTTGATTTCCTTCAGCTCACCTGCAAGGACAGAGATTTTGCTGAGTCACAGCACGTGGAAGCTGAGGGCTTGTCTCATGTGCATGTGGGCATGTGAATCCTTCCGGTGGAATGTCAGGTCCTGGGCCAGCCCACCAGGGATAAAGGTGAGGCAAGGGGAGCTCTGCTTGAACTGAGAACCACCCAGCTCCCCCACCACTGAAGGACACATCCATCCATAGAAAGCACTTCTTCTCCCATTCCAGGAAAACCTTTCCCTTAAGAGTTTGAAAGAGGAGTCAAGATCAGGGCTGTGAATTGTGTCTAGCACCTGTTTCATAAAATGCTTATTAGGAAGTTTGTTTTGGAGTCATTAAAGGCAGATTTCAAGACTCTGAGCAACAACCCCATTAACTGGGGCACCAATTTTGATGATGCTATGTTTTGTTCTGTCCTTGTTATTTGTAGAGAAGAGAAACTCCCAGGAGCCTGGAGAGCATGGCTGGGCACAGCAGATACAGCTATGGTAGCCATGGAGCTGACCAGCCTCCTGGGAGTGAGTGGGCCACCTGAGCAGGGTCCACTCAGCCCACGCAAGCAGCAGCACCACCTCACTGACAGGAGCTGCAACAGTGCCTGCGGCCTCCTCTTTCCATAATGAGGTACCGCCTAGCAGGCAGGGACTTTCACTTTTATTTCCACAGCGAACCTTGTGGTTAGAAGTCTAGGCCGTGGGAATCTTCTTGTTAACCACAAACTGGTTTCAAAAGGATCCTTCCTAATACTGTAGATACTGCACTTGGCTCATGTGGGAGTCCACTGCCTGTGGAAACATTACTTATCTATTTTTCAGGTGTGCTCTACATACGTAAAAGGCAGAGATCTTAAAGGTACAGTCTGATCTATTTGACAAATGGCTACACCCCCTATTTTTTTTTTTTTTTTTTTTTTTTTTGAGACAGAGTCTCGCTCTGTCACCCAGGCTGGAGGGCATGGCCCAATCTTGGCTCACTGCAGCCTCCGCCTCCCAGGTTCAAGCCATTCTCCTGCCTTAGCCTCCCAAGTAGCTGGGATTATAGGTGCCCATCACTGTGCCTGGCTAATTTTTGTATTTTTAGAAAAGATGGGGTTTCTCTATGTTGGCTAGGCTGGTTTTGCACTCCTGACCTCGGGTGATCCGCCTGCCTCAGCCTCCCAAAATGCTGGGATTTCAGGTGTGAGCCATTGCGCCCAGTTGAGCTGGAGGCTTTTGACTAAGTCTGGCAGTTACTTCCTTGCGCCAAATTGCCTCTTCCTTAGTTTCCAGTTTGACGTTATAGCTGGACAGCAGTTACTTTAGTATGAATCTGAATAAATGACTACATTTGTTTAGAGAGCAGAGTCGTCTCCATACTCCAGCAAGAGTCTAGGAACAATGTACCTGTGATTTACGTTGCAATATTTCTCTCTAAAAGTAAATAGTTCCCCCCATTTTTATCAGGTGCTTCACTGAGCCCCTGTTTCATGGTGTAATTTAAGTGGCATGACACCTGGGTACCCCCAACTTCTATGATGAATGATGTTCACATTAATCAGTTACATACTGCTTGAGTGTGTAGGACAGGGGCTGGCTGGCATGATACATGGCCATTGTGTGTTTGAGACCTACAAGTAAGTAGGTGGGCTGCTGTCAGCCTCTAAACCATGTCATCCCAGGGCAGTTCAGTCACTGAGCTTCGAGCTGCATGCTGGGTACCCCAGGATGAAGTGGAGGATCACCCAATGACCAGGCTTTTCCTGTACTGCCCTTGGCCCAAACAAGGAGAACAGAAACTTTATTCATGGATGAGGCTATTTCTAGGTAGCAAATATTTATCACAGGTGTCTCATTAGTAACCTGGTATAAAGTAATTTGCTTTTCATTTAAGAGTAACTGCTTATAACCCAAACAGTGAAAATAATATAGTTGGTAAACCTGAGTGTGCATCAGAGACCCTTGGTGCAGTTTTCCAAAAGCAGATCCCCAGGCCCCACTTCTGAGCTGCTGATTCATTAGGTCTGGGTGGGGTCTGGGATCTCTGGTTTTAACAGCTAGTTCTGAGGAGGGGAACACTTTGAGAAACCTACTGCTGGCAGTTAGATGCTGAGAACCTCGAACTGAGGCAGGACAGGGGCAGTGAGAAGCAAGCGGCGGCAGACCCTGAAGGCAGTGGGGGCCTGCTCACTGTACACGCACCATGGAATGAAGTACAGCATCGGAATTCTGAACCATCCTGCACTTGAGGCATGAGGTTGGCTCAAGGCCGCCATTGCTGTGGGAGGATGAAGAATGTCCTCATCCCCAAGATGTTTCCCTTCTGATCTCTGGCGTTCTGCCTGTGAGTATAGTCATGGTCCCCCACAAAGGGGAACTGAGGTAGCAAATAGAATTCAGATTGCTGATCAGCTGCCTTTAACAGAGGGAGATTATTCTGGATAGTCCCAGTGGAACCAATTCAATCACATGAGTCCTTAAAAGTGGAGGAGGAAGGCAGAGGAGTGCATCAGAGATGGGACGATAGAAGATGAGGCAGGACAGGTGGCAGCGTGAGGGTATCTGATGCCTGCTGCTAGCTCTGAGGTGAGGGGCCGTATGCACAGACCAAGTGCTGGAGCTCAGGGCAGCCCAGCTGGGGCCAGCAAGGAAACGGGACGGGTCTGCAGCCCCTTGCAAATGCACTCTGCCAAAAACTGGATGAGCAAGGAGACTGAGCCTCCCTGGAGCCTCTGGAAAGGAGCCCAGTGCCCAGACAACACCGTGGCCTCAGCCCTGTGAGACCCGAGTCCAACTTCTGACCCGCAGAACCTGTGTTGTTTCAGGTTACCACGTGGGTAGAAATCCAGTCACTCACCTTCATTGACTTCATCATTTTCTCTGTCCACCTGGGCTTTCAGGACGTATCTTTTTATGAGCCGTTTCATGATTTTCTGAAATGCCAAGCAGGGAAGGGATCAGACAGGCCTGGCGTAGTGTGGAGGCAGCCTGCGCCATGTAGCAGGACCCCTCTCTCCCTTGAAGTGCTCCAGCAGCCGCGGCAACACTGCCATGCCTGGCGCCTCACTCTGGCGGGGTGCCCTGCACAGTGTGGGGACCTGGCCAGTCTCTGTGTAGCCTTCCCTGCAGGATGCAGTGCCCACCTGACCCCGGGATGTCCTAACAGGATACTTCTCAAAAGCTGAGCCAAGCAGAGAGAGAAAGAGAGAAAGAGAAAGAGGGGCGGGGTGGGGCGTGGCGGGGATCCTGGATCCATGTCTCTGGACTGGCTCTGCCCTGCTTAGTCACATCATCTTCCTGGACCTCAGTTCTGTTTCAAGGACGGAGTTTGGGTAGAGCTGCCTCCCTCGGAGGTCACAGTGAGCAGTGTTTCCTTCATGAGGGGAGATCTGCCGGGTACAGAAGTCAGGACCAGGCTTGGAGGACAAGTCCACCGTACCTTGGAAAATTCCTACCAGAAGCAGAAGCAGAAACAGCTGAGCCTCTGGGGTTTTACAGAGATGCCACTTCCCACAGGCCTGACACTGTGCTGACGGAGTCACACTGGAGAAGGATTTGGCCCTCAAGTCCCGTTTATTATGCAGATACTGAATTTGTTAAGCAGGCGAGGCATGAATAAACACTTAAGAGACACCAAGAATAGAGCCAAGTGTAGGAACGACTGCAGGAGGTGAACTTTGGATTTTGCCAGCTAGTCGGTCCAGGGTTCCTGTGAAATCACAGGCTTTAAAAATACTCGGGTAGCCAAGACTTGTGAATCTTCCAAGAGATGAGCAGTGTGGAAGAGAGGAAGGGATTTCCCAGCTCCTTGGTCCCCTCTTCCTGTGGCCTTCTCACCTGCTCACTCCTGTGGACCAAGAGGACAGAGGCAGCATTGTCTAGTTTGAAGAGACCTGTAGGGACCTGATTCTGTTCCTGGCTTTGCTATATAGGCTGAGGAAAAAAGCATCTTGCAAATAAGTAAATGAACTGGATGCAAAGAGCTGGAGGATTTACTCATTATCACCAATTTATGGTTCTTGCCATCTCTTTAACCGTGAACAGCTTGCTACAGAGATGCTTCCTGGCCTGTGATTTCCAGACTTCACCTGAACCCAGAAAGGCTCTCTGGGATAACACTAGGTTTAGCTCATTCAGGCTAGTGCTGCCCCTTCTCAGCCCTTGGGTTTGAGTCGTGATCTGTGGTTTGAGTCGTGATCTGATTTCAGGCTGAACACTTAATTGGCAAGTTGCCTCCCTGCTGCTCCTTGTCAGAGA